TCCCTCGTTGTGTATGTTATATTTTGAGACTGATCATAAAAACAAAATGGATTAAAAGAAGAACTAAACAGATCTTTCTCATATTGCAATGATCGATTCTATTTCTTTCACATTAAGTACTGTACTAGTAAATATGTGAAATGACAAACTCACTTTGAAGGTTGGCTTTCATACACATCAGTATTAAGTTTAGATCAAAAGTTACCTCAAGGTGCATTTACTGTTAACATGACTCGATCAAACAGATTAGAGGAAAGAAGAGAAAAGATCGAACTGACAAAAAACTAATGAAGATGGTACAAAGGTGGGTGCCAAGATCCCTCTGGGATCTTTTGTTAAGAATGTCATTACTGTTTGGATGGTTCATTATTCCTCTTCTGGACAGCAGAGGTCATCATCTAATGTTAACATGATTGTCAGTTGAGGAACAAATATTTGATCAGGCAAAAGATCTTCTGTTTTAATTACCTAATATAAAGAACTTTTATAATTATTTCTTATAGATTTTTTGTACGTAATAATTTAGCCTTGTTTGGATTTTTGTATGAAATGCAAGATTTACATACATCACCTATAAATCATCTCTTTTGCAATTTTACGTATTACACATATTGTGTAGCTTGAATGATGGGATATGATGTTTTCCTGCTAACAGCAAATAAAGCCCAGATCCCTTCGCTACCCAAGATACAGCGACTGATAGAGGCAGCCTGGGAGAAGGGGTTTGACAAGCAGGGCTGTGAACAGCTAGGTGGACATGTTGTGGACACCACTAAGTGGATAGGGGCCACAGAAATCGCCGCTACTCTTCTCTCCCTCAAAGTCAGGTGAGTAGTGCAGGTGATCCAGATTTTGGTTTTCTTTTGTTTTTAAAAATCAAAGGATGAAAATTTAGTGGAGTCAAATAAATTATTGTTCACAGAATAAGTATAATTTGAGGTTTAGCTTGTGCATAATAGTTTTCTCTTGAAATACATTTGTAATCCCCCATACCTACATTTGATAGTCTCTGTCCATCTAAAATGGCCAAAAAAGGGCCAATAGAATTTATGCCTTGGCAGGGCATCTGTCATCAGTCCAATGTCTACGACTTTTCATTAAAACGCTACTTGTCGAGGACAGCTGAAGGGATTTAGACTAGATTGCATCAGAGCATCCTTGGGCCAAATGGAATAAATGTCAAGGATTCCCTGAAGTTAGATGGATGCCCCCAGTTGGGGAATATTTAAAGTCCTACTCCTATGTTGTGTTGAGCATCCTTGGGCCAAGAGGACATAACATTGTATAAGTTGGGTATGGCTAATTTGGTCGGTAGTATCATTGGGCCAAGGGTTCTCAATGTTCTATCAGCAACAAATATACTAGAAAATATCAATAAAATGCAAGAACAAAAATTGTCTTTGTATTACAGGTGTCAGTTACTAGATTTCCACAACCCGTCTGGTCCTCAGGGGACACACCCTAAACTTTTCCAGTGGGTTAAAGACTACTTCTGTCAGCCATCTCCGGTCAAACTTCCTCTATACTTGCAGCACCAAGGTAAGGGGCAGACAACTTGATTTCCTTTATTATCACACTATCTGCTCAAGTTCTGGACAGTTAAAGGCATACAGCTGGAAAAAGAAGTTGTTTCATAAGTAGTAATCTATAAGGTTTATATAGTTTACACTCGTTTGGATTGAAGTTTTGCTCAGATCTTTCATTAGGATTATGTTGTATCTGATTGGTGCTGAACATAGGTTTTTTTAAACCTAAATTAAAATAATGTTACAAATATGAGAGGGAAACCAATTAATATCTGATGGCCTGACAGTCCAGAGTCTTTTGATATGTATAGGTTTTCTTTTTATATTGAAGATGGTTTCCAATTTACAAACGAACGACACAAATGTTGCTCTATTTCCCAGAGCAGAAGTTAATAGTCAATGGAATCCCCAGGAGATGTAATTTGTGTTAATTTGTGTTTAACACTAATCTAGCATTTGAAAATTTCAGTATCCTATCTCATTAAGCTTTGAAAATTTCAGTATCCAATCTCATTAAGCTTTGAAAATTTCAGTATCCCAACTCATTAAGCTTTGAAAATTTCAGTATACCAACTCTTTAAGCTTTGAATAGTCCTGATCTATTTAGTATCATGAAATGATGATATCTTTGTTATTTGTTTCAATAAGATTTCCATGCATTTAGGTCACAGTCGAACGATAGTAGGCGTCGAAGAGTTAAAGGATGGAGTTATACGTCTGCTGATCTTTGATCCAAGCACCTCAAAGAAACAGATGCAGCTGTTCAATGGCTTCATAAACTCCAACATCATGAGGATAGTTAGAAGAAGTATCCATGGACTGAAGGCCAAACAGTACCAGATAGTGGCAGTCACAGGGATGCTGGAGGATAAGGCATACGAGGTGAGCTATTCATGGTCATAGCTAGTGATGCCTAGAAGATTAGTCATCAGTTACCATAAGCAATGCATAATACGTTCTACATGGCAGTTTGCATTATTTATTTTTTAATAAAATTTCTAGTTCATAAAATTGATTAAGATGCAATATTAGTATTCTTTCATAAGATGAAAAAAAAGAAGAATTTTCATCGAGTGATATTTTGACATTTTTATGTCGCCACAACAATGAAATTCCTATTTACTAAACAGGCTACAATTTGAAATTAATTGTAAAGGGGAATAATACTGATTTCTAAGGTTTGCTATAAACACATTTATAAAATTCTTATCAAAATTTCAAATTGGTTTTAATGTCTCATAAAAAGTAATTATTTTAGTGATTTCAGATATGAATATATGTGCTTGGGGTTAAAATGGTTGCAGGAAGGTAATGGGGGTTGGGATCTAGAAAGATTGATAATATTTGTATTTTCAGCCACACAAAAACAGATTTGTGGGTGGCAGGGTCACAAAAAAGTGTTTTCTTGCCCTCAATTTCACCTATGAATAAGGCAGTGGCCAAGTGGTTAAGGCATCTGACATTCTGCTACCACTAGTCTAGCCCTCCACCACTGGGCCGTGGGTTCAAGACCTATGTGGGGCAGTTGCCAGGTACTGGACATAGGTTGGTGGTTTTTCCTCAGGAACACTGGCTTTCCTCCACCACCAAAACCTGGCACACCCTTAAATGATCATAGCTGTTAATAGGAAGTAACACAAACAAATAATTTCTTTGGTCCCTTAAGCTCATTATAAATATATCCTTTTTCGTGTGTGTTGGCAGAAAGTGTTGCTGCTTTAGAAAATGTGTTGTATATGTTTCATCATTGATATAAAACAAAATATTCATGTATAATATTTACAGGAACACAAGGTGCTGAAATCAGAGAGGATAAGTTGACCACTATCTGATAGCTAATGTGATACCAATCGTCAGGCTGTGATTGTGTGCTGGGAAAGTCCTGCCTTGCTACCCCCCATCTACGACCTCATTGTTATACCCCTGTCATGGAGTGGTAAAGACGGCCATTTTCGTGTAATTTACCCATGTCTTTAAAGCAAATTTTAAGTCACAAAAATTGTTCTATTTAGCCATATAAAGAAATAGATAATATGTGTATTCAGATTTTCTTTTACTCTAATGTTATAAAGTGGTTATTCAGCTTGATGCTTTAAAAATTGTTTTGTTTACCTTAGAGTCATGTACACAGCATTATCAGGAGATTCAACGCAAGAACTCTCAACACCAAATGGAAATTTCATATTTCAAGGGGGTACTCATATATATATTGAAGTAATTCAGCCATAAACGGACAGTTATTTGAAGCTAAAACAAAATTTATCAAAAACTCTCAAGTTGTATGAGCTTGTAAATATATTTGCACTCACCCCTAATCCTAACCCTAACTAATTTTCTTAATGGTTTAAATTAGTATATTGACCTTCCCTAACAGGTAGTATACAAAAAATATACGATACATTCTGTATTTAAAAACTGCTCTTAGATTTTAGCACCGACATTAGTGTAAAATTGCTAATAAAACAAAACCTTCAAAATCTAGAGTTTTATTATGGTTTTTTTTTCCATTTTTATTTACAAACATTGATTGGAACTAATAAGAATAGCGTTTTTTTAAAGAAAACCTCTAGAAGTTCATATTACTCATCTGTAAAAGTTGATTTCTTGTTTGACACTTCAAACTGTTTGCAATGTGAAAATGTAGATGTTAACAGTGCTGCTGCAATTTGTATTTCATAATGTGTCCATATATTTGTGCAGGCATATGTTTATTCTAATACAGTTAGGTGACAGCAAACGTTTTTGGAAATTCCACTTTTGCAGTAGTGTAATTTTTCTGATGGTTTAATTGTGACCCTGAATTATTATTAGGATTGAAATTGAACAAGTAATGGTGTTGTTTTTTTCAATTTTGTCTGATGAATATGTTGATAATGATGACACTGAAATGGTTGTGGTCTGACCTTTTTATATGTTACGACAAGTTAAATGGCAGCCTCTTGCATATATGGATCTCCTTTTAGAATTAATTGTTGTAGAAGTTGAAAAATAAATTCTTAGATTTAGCAATTAGGTGAATTCTTCCCTGTACATACAGACATACAGAACCAAAGTAGTTTATGATGGACAATGGCCGGGGTTACAATCCCCAGGATCGTACAGACTGTCCTATATGATGGACAATGGCCGGGGTTACAATCCCCAAGATCCAACACGTAGAAGACTGTCCTATATGATGACTCAAATAAATATCAACAGGAGAAACTACCAAAATCTTGTGTGGTGCCATCAGTCAAACCGAGGCGTGGTGCCAATTTGGATCAATCCGAACACTTGTGTGGACTTGTGTCAGTCAAACTGGGAATGGACATTTTGGATCAATTCACACTTGTCCACCACCAGTACTGTGGTTTTAATTAGTTTGCCATTATAATTTCCCCAAATACTGTGGTGTAATTTTTATAAATATTAAATTTTTGAAAGTGTGAACATACCTCTGGTATCACCGATATAAAGACTTTTAAGGAATGGAATGGATGGCCAGCTTGTTTTCTTATAGAAATTTATTAATATTAAAGTTTGGCTTGCTCAATGTTATTTCCCTGTGATACGATTACTTTATCTACATGTATAGCATTATACTGATTATTGTATATATATTTATATTATGTGTATTATAAATGATGTATTACTATGATTTATAATATTCTAGTAATCATATATGGTACATGACTTTATGTAACCACTATACAGGGTAGTTGTTATTATATACATAATATAAATATACAACAGCGTATGTAGATTATGTATTAAATGTAAATAATTGAAGTTTATGTACACATATTTGTACATCATACATTGTAAATTATGTACTATAACTAGTGTTAAACAAGTACATCAACACCACTTATTAAATGCTTGTCTCCTTTTAATACAGGTTGGATTCTATACAAGTACATTCTATTCTATATTCTGAAGATTCTGAACTGATAATAAGAAAGTCCTATTTATGACCAATTAATTTGTTCAAAGTTTGGAGTTATTCAAAATACCAAAACTGTGTGTGTGTAGGTTGAAGGATTATGCTAATACAACTTTGAAATATAATTTTGAAATTTTCCATGGATAGACAGCAAAAACAAAATACAAAAAGGTCGTAAGTGACATAAATTAAATACAAAAAAGGTAAGTGACATGACATTCTAGCTCTAACATTTGACAAAACATTAGTTCATTTATGGAAAAATCTTTAAAGGTTGCAACACTTCAGTTTTGACATTTGACGAAAAATTTAGTTACTTTCTCATTCCAGAATCTCCCATGACTAGCTCCCCTTCTTCCCTCCAAACAACCCCCATTTCCTACACCCAACCACACACTACTCCCATAGTTATATATGATCATCATATAGCTAATCTAGGCCAAAACGTTTGTACTAAATGTTTTCTCATTCTGGTAATGTTGAACATTTGATCAACACTACAAAGTTTGTTATTTAATAATAGATATATGCAATAAATTCTAGTCGGTAGATAATTATGATTTTAATTAAACTTGAATGGTATGATGTAGGGATGAACAATTCACTGATGCTATCAAGGAAATATTCCTGATGACATAGCACGGTAATACAGGAACGGGGAAGCATGATGGCCATGACTAGTGAGACAGAAACAGGGAAGCATGATGGCCATGTCTAGTGAGACAGAAACAGCGAAGCATGATGGCCATGTCTAGTAAGCTCTTAGTTTGTACGAGCTATAATATATATTGAAAGAACTCATTGAGTGAGAAATCTTTTTTTTATCCAAAGATAGTTTTATTGCACCTTTAAAAACTCATAGCATATAGTATATAGACAGTGTTATATGGGACTGTGTCTATACCATTAAGTCTCACTGTCTGACTTACAAGAATTTAGAACTTGAAGTATGAAATTAATTGTAAAAGCCTTATTCAGCTTAATGACATGCAATTAATTGTTCAGCTTATTTATTTATTTTTAAAGAAAATTTCCATTAAATTACTGGTAATGTATTCCCAGTAATTATTTGATGGTTATAATTTTGAATAACAGAATATGGAAGTTTCTTAAATTAAAAGAAAAATTGTTTAGTTGGCAATTTTGAATTATAGAACTTGGAAATTTCTTAAAATTACAAAAATTAAACATCTAATTGTTAATTTATTCTTTAACATATTCATCTTGAAGAGATCAAATTGTGACAGAAGTTAGACGCAGGCTGATAATTGTAACAGAGCAGGATGGATATAGTAAAGCAACTTTTTCCGTTAGCGGAAACCAATCCATCCTGAACATCCTGGACTGTTTATCTACACCTATAAATGTGGTGTCATTACACTGTTACATCAGAATCCAACAAATCCATTTGGTAATGATGGTACAGCTTTGTTAGCATTACATTAGTGTTAGATCTCAGTCGACTGGAGTTTATGGTAGTCGGGCAAATCGTAGAGCTTTTCCCTTCTTATAGTTATGCCATGTGTTACCTGGGATAAGCCATGCCCATCCACTTGTAAAGTGAATCTGATTTCACAGGCGAGAGTCAGATAGGGAATTATACCATTTCTACTTATAAGACCAATTTTGTAATGTTTAATAAGCCCAGTGTTGGTTGCTGTCCTGTTTTTAAGGACTGCGCCCATGCACCAAGTGTGCATTGTAACCATGATTTTAAGTACCCAAGCTTAAATTTAATGCCATGTTTGAAGATCTGTTTTGTGATATGTATATTTGCCTTGTTTCCAATTTAATATTACTTTGTTTAAATTTGTGTTCATAGATATTATATATACACATGTACACATTGTTATTCTGTATGTTCATTGCGTTGATTGTTATTATTCTATCTTGTCCAATCTTATTAATTTTTTGAAGTATTATGCATGGTGAAATACTGTTTGTAAACAGGACCAAAGTCTTATGGCCATCAATGTAAACAGGTGTGAAGGTTTGTACAGTGTGCAGTGTGAAGGAGGGATCATGTTAAGATGGCAATATTTACTTTGTCAAATTTAAATCTGATGACATGTTTAATTGAAATCTGTGCAGGTTTTAGTGCTGTTTTTTCCCAATTCACACCCTTAGTTTTTCAGGGTCAAATTTTTGTAATTTTGTTTCTGTAATTAATTTTGCTGGGGCATTAAGTTTTATGCAAAAAAATAATTAGTCTCACCAGGTTTACATTTTACATATTTTTACAGGCTGTGAATATTGGAAAATATATCTTCCATGAAATACTAGTGCCATACAAATAACTAAATCAATGATGTTACAATTAAATAAATACAAAAACATTTAGGTGAGTTCATTGTAAACATCCAAAACAGCCATCATAAGTGAATATGTTAAAATATCTAGAGTTATTGATGACAAGATCAATATGAAAAACATAATGTGACATATCCTTTGACTGACACTATAATGTTATTCTTGTGTTGTTTGGATTGATGTAAAAGCCCAAATCATTTATATTTAGTTTACATACTTGGTATAAATTCTTGCCAAAACTTTTGCCAGAAAACCTCACATAAAAACTAGCAAACGTGCATTTTAGTAAAAGTAATAAAAACTGCTTCAATTATAACCAATCAATTGTATTTCATTGATCAATTAACTGTAAGTTTTTTCTTCAATATATGCAATATATTTGATGAAAATCGGCAAGTCCTCCATTTATGAAGCGTTGATCTCAACATGTATTACACAGCTGTAGATTGCCTCTTGCAACAGTTAGCTTGGTTGTTCAATTTCTCATCACTTTATGCTACACTTTAGAATGTTTGCACTACTTTAACATTTAAAGGTCATGACTTTGAATTAAAGTGCTGTAACAATCACCTTTGTTGTGCTCTGTTTGTTTTTGTCATCACAGGAATCGGCATCATAAAGTTTCTATAAGAAATCATTGACATATCTTGTGAGATTGTGTACAGTTAAACTTTCATCAATTATAGGTAAAACGTGTTTTGGGATTCAAAATTGGCAAAACAAGATATCATCCAAAAAGTGACAAAAAGCATATTGGTCCAAGTTGTGTTGAGCAGGTTTCTCTGAAGGAAGTGGATGTCTTAGAAAAACAGCATCAATTGAGGCCTGTAAACCTGAACTTTCTTTTGAGAACACTAAACACCTGTGCTGCTCCTCCGAGGCTGATGCAGTAGAAAACCTGCGCTTCCTTTCAGGCAGATAAAAAACACCTTGGAAAAATTGAAGGACACATTGTAAATTATCGCAATTACTTTTATTGTAGATTGTATATGAGCACAAATAACAAAGAAATTATTCTTGGTACATGTATATTGTACTGGCCTACAAGCGTATAAACACTGATCAGAAATCATTTACACGTATTACTTTACCTCAGGTAAATGAAAATCACTCGATGCTTATTAACGATTACTCGATATAACAACTACCTGACAAGTCATAGAACAATGACACTGTATTGGACTATAAGCACTATCAAATGTCAATAGCTTATCGCACTGCAAACCTTTTATCATTAATGAATTTCCTTGGTATAGGAATCGGACCTCATCAAAGTGACTCTTTAACAAATGATATACATGTACTCTAAAGAAAATTTACAGTAAGGACACTAACAAACTAAATATATAGTGTATGTACTACAGGAATAATGCTATCTACAGATACAGTGGCAGCTTCGACAATGAAATAATGCTATCTACAGATATAGTGGCAGCTTCGACAAAGAAATAATGCTATCTACAGATACAGTGGCAGCTTCGACAATGAAATAATGCTATCTACAGATATAGTGGCAGCTTCGACAAAGAAATAATGCTATCTACAGATACAGTGGCAGCTTAGACAATGAAATAATGCTATCTACAGATATAGTGGCAGGTTCGACAAAGAAATAATGCTATCTACAGATACAGTGGCAGCTTCGACCATGAAATAATGCTATCTACAGATACAGTGGCAGCTTAGACAATGAAATAATGCTATCTACAGATACAGTAGCAGCTTCGACAATGAAATAATGCTATCTAGAAATACAGTGGCAGCTTCGACAATGAAATAATGCTATCTACAGATACAGTAGCAGCTTCGACAATGAAATAATGCTATCTAGAAATACAGTGGCAGCTTCGACAATGAAATAATGCTATCTACCGATACAGTGGCAGCTTCGACAATGAAATAATGCCATCTACAGATATAGTGGCAGCTTCGACAAAGAAATAATGCTATCTACAGATACAGTGGCAGCTTAGACAATGAAATAATGCTATCTACAGATACAGTAGCAACTTCGACAATGAAATAATGCTATCTACAGATACAGTGGCAGCTTCGACAAAGACATCATGATCTGTGCAAATTTTACTTAACAATCTTCTTTGCATGGCCTAATTAGGTGGCAACAGAACGGATGAAAAAAATGTACTAAAACTTACGCATAACTACCTACTTATTATCATCAATAGTGATGGGCTGATGATCGATTACAATCGAAAATCTATCAGTTTGCCCTTTCCTATTCTGATTATCAATTACAAATTCCATAATCAATATAATCGGTTTGTCAGTATTTAAATATGTTCCATGTTGAGTATGCTTTTAAAGTCATATATTCTTATGATTTAAACTATATGATTGATAAAATGCATAAACGTTGCTTGATATTCATCCATTATAAAAGAACAAAACAAAACACTCTGTCTGTTGATGTAATAGTAGTGTTTTCACTTTATTTGGGTATTCAGTCCAACAAAATTTTAAACCAATTATGCAAGCGATCATTGAACGGTTCAATACTTCCGATTACAAACCGATTATCAATTATGGTTTTAAACCGATTGCCCATCACTAATCAATTAATATAAGTATCAGAAAAATCAGTTTGTATGAATGGAAAAATGGAGGCCATATTGAATTTTAAACTTGATAAAATAAAATAACAATTAATTAAGGGCCATGCACACTAATCATTTCCATGATGGGTAAACGTTATCACACCCAGTAAATAAATTTTTAAGATAACAGTTATGGCTTTTATATTGGATTTCAAATTGGCCTCAAAATAACAAGAATTAGAAATAGTTGGAATTATACTTTTCTATAAAATTTCATGATATCAACTCAGTAGAATGAATCATTTCAGTAGAATTTGACTTAAAAGTTTCAAATGTAAAAAGGTTAACAGATAACGCACAAACGACAAAGCACAGACAGCAACAGCTCATGTGATCTACTGTAAGAACGTATTTTAATATAATCATTTTCCTGTATACAGATACAAAAATAACTTCAACAGAATGTACTACACATACACTTTATCTATCAACAATATTGATTTACCGTTTGGATATTGATATGTAAACCATTAAAACACGATTCTATTACACCAGGTTATAACTAGTCGGAAATGTATTTGACATTTTTTGTTTTGACAAAGCCTACCATGTAGGATAGGATACAAATAAAATGTTTCCACACGACAAAGTCTACCATGTAGGATAGGATACAAACAAAATGTTTCCACACGACAAAGTCTACCATGTATGATAGGATACAAATAAAATGTTTCCACACAACAAAGTCTACCATGTAGGATAGGATACAAAGCCTACCGTGAAGGATAGGATACAAATAAAATGTTTCCACACGACGAAGTCTACCATGTAGGATAGGATACAAACAAAATGTTTCCACACGACAAAGTCTACCATGTATGATAGGATACAAATAAAATGTTTCCACACGACGAAGTCTACCATGTAGGATAGGATACAAAGCCTACCGTGAAGGATAGGATACAAATAAAATGTTTCCACACGACAAAGTCTACCATGTATGATAGGATACAAATAAAATGTTTCCACACAACAAAGTCTACCATGTAGGATAGGATATAAAGCCTACCATGTAGGATAGGATACAAAGCCTACCATGTAGGATACAATGGTGTAGAATAACAAAAATTAATCAGTTGGTCTAATCAATAGTTTGAAAGATATAAAAAACACTATTATTTACAACATTCATGAACGTACATACAATTGTAAATGAATGTTTTGAGGTTATAGCAGTACCAGGTAATGTGACAAATAATGTGTTATGGATTTTGATGTAATAAACAAACTGATACTAGAACAAGTATTTGGTATTTACAATTAGAATTGACTCATGGTGGGAAGAAATGTTGTCTTCAATCAAATTGCTGATTTGAGGATTAAGGACAAAGTTAAATAAATTGCAGATCATCGTAAACGAAGAAAGCACCCAAAAAAGTAATTAATCGAACTTTTTGATCAGTGTTTTAAATAAGGACATAACTTCATAATGGAAATAAGAGTTAGGCATTTGATATTCATTCAAAACGGTCACATTTTTTTTTACATTATAGAAAACAACAAGGACTAGTAATGGTTGGGATCAAACTTTCCTATAGAATTACACTGGTTCTGACATGTTAGGCTTTTTAACATTAAATGAATTTCTTAATGTCCCTGCCGACCAATCAGGTCTGGTATAACACTATGTATAAACAGATTATGAGTAGTATAGTTTCCTAAATGTCCCTTATCAAATGTGAATAATTAAACATCATCATATGTAGATGGGTTTTAAGTATAGCACGGCCTCCTGAATGTCCCTGATCAAACATGTACCATTAACATCATATGGCCTCCTGAATGTCGCTGATAATATGTGTACAGTTAGACTTCACATATAGACAGGTTGTGTGTGAAGCATGGCCTCCTGAATCTCCCGGACCAATCTTGCTCGGTTTAACATCTTGTTCATAGCCTCACTGGACAGGTTCTGGGTGGAGTACCATACTGGACTATCCGGCACACATGATCGCTCAGGGGTCAGGTAGAATGCATCATTACGGTTCTTTATACTCTCAGGGCTGTAAAATATACATCGGATGTGTGACAGATCAATTGTACATGAAAAGGTTTTTTGTTTAAAATTTAAAGCTTCATATTCATCATTTTACATGAAGTAATTGTCTTTAAATACCTTTTATTTAACGCTACAGAAATATTATTATTTGGAGATAGTTATCAATACAGTACTGTCCCATCGTACAGCCACCTGTTAAACCACCGCCCATGATTTTTTTTCTTCATTTATGAGAAATAAATTTCACTTAAATGCCCTTGCTCACAAACTGTCCTACCCACCTTCCACCTAATAGCCCATACTCCCTTAGAAACCATTCTGAATCAAAGTTCTAGTAAAAAAGTGATGAAATTGAACAGTTTTTACTTACACAAACAATATCACCGTTTGAGTCATCAAATGATTTTTCAATTTCCCACCTTGCAGATGTGGATAGTATCTGCAGGGAATTAATTATCAGGATAATACTGCAGAATTTCTGCACAGTACAAATTATATGGAAGTTCAATAGGATTTCAAACATGTGGTTTGTAAACTGAATCCCTTCTTGCACATTCAGCAGAAATATCTAATGGGATGATCTGAATCTTCTTATTATCAATATGTGGTTTCATTTTAATAATTGTCAACTTAATTGCGTTTTTTTGATGGTTTTTTGTCCTCACAACAGCTAAGGTCATACAAATTAGACACTGTCCACAGATGATGGAGCACTACTCGAGGACAACCCGACACTGTCCACAGATGATGGAGCACCACTCGAGGACAACCTGACACTGTCCACAGATGAGGGAGCACTACTCGAGGACAACCTGACACTGTCCACCGATGATGGAGCACCACTCGAGGACAACCTGACATTGTCCACAGATGATGGAGCACTACTCGAGGACAACCAGACACTGTCCACAGATGATGGAGCACCACTCGAGGACAACCTCACACTGTCCACAGATGATGGAGCACCACTCGAGGACAACCTGACATTGTCCACAGATGATGGAGCACTACTCGAGGACACCCCGACACTGTCCACAGATGATGGAGCACCACTTAAGGACAAACTGACACTGCCCACAGATGATGGAGCACTACTCGAGGACACCCCGACACTGTCCACAGATGATGGAGCACCACTTAAGGACAAACTGACACTGCCCACAGATGATGGAGCACTACTCGAGGACACCCCGACACTGTCCACAGATGATGGAGCACCACTCGAGGACCACCTGACACTGTCCACAGATGATGGAGCACTACGCGAGGACAACCAGACACTGTCCACAGATGATGGAGCACCACTCGAGGACAACATGACACTGTCCACAGATGATGGAGCACTCCTCGAGGACAACCTGACACTGTCCACAGATGATTGAGCACTACTCGAGGACAACCTGACACTGTCCACCGATGATGGAGCACCACTCGAGGACAACCTGACACTGTCCACAGATAATGGAGCACAACTCGAGGACAACCTGACACTGTCCACAGATGAGGGAGCACCACTCGAGGACAACCTGACACTGTCCACAGAGGATGGAGCACCACTCGAGGACAACCTGACACTGTCCACAGAGGATGGAGCACCACTCGAGGACAACCTGACACTGTCCACAGATAATGGAGCACCACTCAAGGACAACCTGACACTGTCCACAGATGATGGAGCTCTACTCGAGGACAACCTGACACTGTCCACAGATGATGGAGCACCCCTCGAGGGCAACCTGACACTGTCCACAGATGATGGAGCACCACTTGAGGACAACCTGACACTGTCCACAGATGCTGGAGCACTACTCGAGGACAACCTGACACTGTCCACCGATGATGGAGCACCACTCGAGGACAACCTGACATTGTCCACAGATGATGGAGCACTACTCGAGGACACCCCGACACTGTCCACAGATGATGGAGCACCACTTAAGGACAACCTGACACTGTCCACAGATGATGGAGCCCCACTCGAGGGCAACCTGACACTGTCCACAGATGATGGAGCACTACTCCGGGACAACCATCTTCCTGAGTACCCTCTTACTGAAATGTCAGGACCTGGAAATGGTATCACAACACTCGCAACGTTCACGTTATTCTTAAGATGACCTTAATTGCGTTTTTTTGATGGTTTTTTGTCCTCACAACAGCTAAGGTCATACAAATTAGACACTGCCCACAGAGGATGGAGCACTACTCGAGGACAACCTGACACTGTCCCCAGATGATGGAGCACTACTCGAGGACAACCTGACGCTGTCCACAGATGATGGAGCACTACTCGAGGACATCCTGACACTGTCCACAGATGATGGAGCACCACTTGAGGACAACCTGACACTGTCCACAGATGCTGGAGCACTACTCGAGGACAACCTGACACTGTCCCCAGATGATGGAGCACTACTCGAGGACAACCGGACACTGTCCACAGATGATGGAGCACTACTCGAAGACAACCTGACACTGTCCACAGATGATGGAGCACCCCTCGAGGACAACCTGACACTGTCCACAGATGATGGAGCACTACTCCAGGACAACCATCTTACTGAGTACCATCTTACTGAAATGTCAGGACCTGGAAATGGTATCACAACACTCGCAACGTTCACGTTATTCTTAAGATGACTATTCCATGTACCACAGCTTCGTTTTACTATACAAATGATTCAGGATGGAAGGTAGCTAGAAGCTGTATACACACTGTACATTCGTATATTTAGTATGACACTGATATTAAATCATTGTATGAAGGGACTTACCATTTTGATAGGTAGAACTCGTATAACTTAACAGGACATCTGAGTGGGTTGTCTAGATTTTCAGCCTGTTCGTATACAGGCACCTCATCTTTCTGTTTCTTCTTCTGGTTCATATCATCTAGAAAACAGGTTGTAATTACTGGTTCATATCATCTAGAAAACAGGTTGTAATTACTGGTTTGTATCATGTGGAACGTACAAGTAATATATCAATTTTTACTGGTGCATAAATTAAATTAAAATACATTCCATTGTTTAGTGCATGTACACTTTCCTAGTATTGACAGATCTTAAAGTTAAAGTGAAAACTGATATTTATATCTATGAAAAAATGTAAAATGTGCAAAATACTACACATTTTACCAATAAAATGTATATACAATGATATGATTTTTTTCTTTCCCAACATTCACAATGAAGATACATTGTAGTTATCTTCTCCCATCTTTCACAGATGTCTCCTGTTTAGGTGGGAAAGATCAGCTTGTCACCCCCTTTGGGATTTATCCTAGTGCAGAATAGCAGGTGCTACATTTTAAAGTCATAAAAAGTAAATGATGATATTCAAATATGTGCTTTTATTTACAAATAAGCCTGACTACTGTTAGTAACTGAAATTACAGGATTGGAGAAAAATAATCATCCCCTACCTTGAGGGTGGAACAGAGAAATATCCAACCCTCTGGGTATTTATTTGTTTGTCTATTCCTTGGCAGAGCCTCGGGTTGGTCAACCAAATAAATCATTCCCTAGATTTCCCTGTCACACCCTACAGATAAGGGTCTATAACACTCTCACCAGTTTGTCTCCTGTTTACTAAGGAGATGAGGTATGGGACATTGAGTGTTACTAAGGAGATGACCTACTTGTGAGTTTGGTTGGGTTAGGACAGTAGTAACGTAAGTAGACGCTGCGACCAGTTGTGTTGTTTTTGCCGATGGGAGTTTTCTTCCAATGCTTCATGATGTGTGTGAAGGAAAGCTTCATGTGGTCATCTACCTCCTTCAGCATGAAGTACTTGGTGTTGAAGAAGACGAGGGTGTTGAGGAGGACGTGGGGGGAGTGGGCCCCCAACTGTTTACATTCCCACAGGTGCTCCTCCTCTATACGACACACCAGCTGACCTGTAAAACAGATTAGTAAAATCTTAGCAATGCTGTCAGACATTATTGGGAACAAAACATCACAGAGCTTTTGTCTAAATTGAAGCTTTTTTTAACGTTTGTGATAAACTGTACAAAGTAATGTTATTGTTTCAAGCAGACACATAATTTCTAATTATAGAGTTATCTGAGGGCTTGCTAAGACATTGCATATTTGCCCTTGACCAACTCTGACTGAATTTGTTGGTTAGTTCCAATTGTGAAATATTTTATTTCACATCTTCAAGACATGAAAGAAGTTTAAGATTGATTTGAAGGGGAAAATATTAAAATAACTGCATAAACAAGATTTGAAGTTCACAAGCCTTTTTTTTTTAGTATTGTCACTTTAGACCAGGTAGTGTGTCACAGTCAAACAAAGGTGTTCTATTTTTTTTTTTTTTAACCAATACATTAAATTCTGTAAATTAATCTTTTAAAATTTGCAGTACAATAGGATAAGGTTACTAATGAACCATGCACAATGTACACTTTAACTCTCAGTCTACATTAATCCTTTCATCACTGTAGACCATAATGGACCCATCCTTATCAATGCATGGTAGAGTCTACTAAAGTTACATAGGGGTGAAAGGGTACTCAGTATAGTGACATATTTTGTACACACTGCATACATCGTCTGTCTGTCCATATCTTTACTAGGGTTGCTCACCTGCAGTATTGATCTTGGGTTCATATCTGTTCAGGACTTCGTTCAGACATTCTGTGAATTTCTCATAATACATGTCAGTGAAGATGTTGTCAATCCGACTACTCTCAAACAGGTACTGCTGAATTCCTGTAACACAATACCGTTATAAGCACTATAGAAATATTCAACATTTACATTTCTTACCCGAAACATTATGGGCCAGAAAATGTACCAAGGCTTGTATATAGTTTAACAAATATGGTATTATAATACAAACAATATTAACTATTCATGTATTAAAGACCTACCAATAGAATGGTCTTATGCAAGTTACTTTCGATTTGAAAAAACATATATTTTATCAACATTACCTCTAAAATGGCTTTGAAACTGACTCAGACTTACCAAGACAGAGATAGTATATACTGTCTGGAGCATACTCGTCCCCATTGGGTTTTCGCACTTCCTTCACAAACAAACACAGGGAGTAGTTGAGTTCATCAGCAGAACACCCCATCATGTCCGTCTTGAAGAGTTTTAGTTTGCCAGAGCCATGTTTCGATACCTTCTCTAGCTGGGCATTTTTCAGTACCACCCAGTGTTTCCATGCATTGACTCCATATGTGTACTTCAGGTACATGTTGGCATCTGGTGGGATCTCCGGGACTTCCGGCTCCAACGCCTGCTCTGTCTCCATCTTCTCTTCCTGTTCTAGGGGATGTATCACTTTCTGGCGCTTGCTCTTGCGACTTCCGCGTGACCCTGACCTCTTTGGACCACGACCTCTTGACCTTGTTTCCCTTGCAGGGACAAGCTCCTCTTCTTCCTCTTCTTTGAGAGGAGGTGGTGGTGGTTCTGTAATGTTCAAAAGCGTAATTTTAAACAAGAGTAATATAAATATCTGCATGCTTATCACACTTCACACTATCAAATTATGCTGCTGGAGTATTTTCTAAGCAAGACATATCAGTGTGTAAAAAGTTTTTCTACCTGTATTTATATGTTGTAGTTATTGAAAATCAATTCCAATTTATGATTTACTTTTTGGTTCAAGACTTGAATAAACTTTAAGTTAAAGCAATACATGTCATAAAAGCAAAGTCTGTATTTTACTGGTGATAAGTACACTGTCAGAATTTACCCCATCCGCCTTTCAAAAGTGGTCTATAATAGGAAATCTGATTAACATGTCCTCCATGTATTTCGAACTTGGAACTAAGCCCTGTAAATGTTTTATCTTAAACAAGACAGTCCTGGTTTATCATGGGTAAAATACTGTATATAGTCAATTCTAGATGAGATTAAAAATGTCAAAGAAAGCAACTTTGAAAATTTCATCTGTTTTCTAGTCGAAATCAGTGCACACCTGCCATGAATACATGTAAAATCTGAACATTTCAGGAATTACACTTAAATTTGCTGACTTCACATTTTGTTAAGTACGTTTTAATAAATTGAAATGGCATATCTAATAAACTGATATTTTTATTTTGACAGTATGACAGACAGTGGCAACTTCATTTTAACAATCATTTATTCTAATTTTCCCCAAAACACACAAGTCTATTGAAGCATTATCAACTAAGCAAGATGTACCTAATAGTTGATCAAATCTTCATCGGTTCCATAAACATTAAACTCAAGTACACCAATATTGATCAAGATGTACCTAATAGTTGATCAAATCTTCATCAGTTCCATAAACATTAAACTACAAGTACACCAATATTGATCAAGATGTACCTAATAGTTGATCAAATCTTCATCAGTTCCATAAACATTAAACTACAAGTACACCAATATTGATCAAGATGTACCTAATAGTTGATCAAATCTTCATCAGTTCCATAAACATTAAACTACAAGTACACCAATATTGATCAAGATGTACCTAATAGTTGATCAAATCTTCATCAGTTCCATAAACATTAAACTACAAGTACACCAATATTGATCAAGATGTACCTAATAGTTGATCAAATCTTCATCAGTTCCATAAACATTAAACTACAAGTACACCAATATTGATCAAGATGTACCTAATAGTTGATCAAATCTTCATCAGTTCCATAAACATTAAACTACAAGTACACCAATATTGATCAAGATGTACCTAATAGTTGATCAAATCTTCATCAGTTCCATAAACATTAAACTACAAGTACACCAATATTGATCAAGATGTACCTAATAGTTGATCAAATCTTCATCAGTTCCATAAACATTAAACTACAAGTACACCAATATTGATCAAGATGTACCTAATAGTTGATCAAATCTTCATCAGTTCCATAAACATTAAACTACAAGTACACCAATATTGATCAAGATGTACCTAATAGTTGATCAAATCTTCATCAGTTCCATAAACAAAACTACACCAATATTGATCAAGCAAGATTGGCATCAACTCTTCAAATAAAATAAAATTTAGCTCGGGTAAAAAAACACATGCATGTATAAACAAAACTGAACTAGTTATTAATCAATTTTTTAACAAACTTTATTCATAAAAACTGTCATGAACATTCATTCAAACAAAAACAGAAATGATAAAATAAAACAATAACATGGTAATCAACATTGTAAAATATGTTCCCTACATGTGTTGATATATCAAAGGTGAGCTTGCTATGTTGTTTAGTTAGCAGACATAAAATAATGTTCCGTGTTTGTCAATAGAGCTGGGTGTTTTCAAATAAAGCACTGTGTGTAAATATTTCTGTAAAAAAAAAGACAGTTTGAGATTTAAAAAAATCTGTTTGAAAATCTTTGCATCACTGTCATGTTAAACAATTAAACATACCTACAACTGTGAATGTTGTTAAAATGAAAACAACAGACAACTGGAGTGTTGGGATCACCGAGGGATTCTACCTAACTAAAATTAGATCTTTGCATCACTCCCGTTCACCGATATGTCACGCAACATAACAGTAAATGGGAGCGATGCGAAGATTTGATGTTCAATTAGATTGTGAGGGATTGTTAGTTATGGAACTTGTTAATAGTGTATAAGTAGCTATACTTATATCAACTGTATAATTAATTAAGATTTTTACTTATAAAATAGTTCAATTTTCAACTGTTACATGCTAAACATGACCTACCTTGAATTCAAGTTGTTTTGAAATCACTTACCTTGAAGCATAAATATGCATAACATGACCTACCTTGCAGCAATATATTTAAACATGACCTACCTTGCAGTAATATATTTAAACATGACCTATCTTGCAGCAATATATTTAAACATGATCTACCTTGAAGCAAAGTGATATTTAACATGACAAAGTAAAATGGTAAGAAACATAACCAACCTTAGTTAAAGTTATTGCAAGGAAAATGTTTTGAACCTACCTTAAATCAACATTATATAGAAATACTGTATAAAGTAATGATTTAAAAAATGAATCTTTACAATAATTTGTGAAAATTGAATATTCTTATGAAAAAGTAGTGCTTTGATGATGTTTCTCTATAAGATAGATCTATCAAGAAAGAACTTTGACCTCGTCTCATTAAAATGTTTTCATACTAAATGTTAAGATGAATTGCCCAAATTTTTCAGCCCTATTTCGATCCCTGATATTGTGTCTAGCTGTTTTAGGTCTCTATCTCAGTCCTATAGTGTCAAGCTTTGCTAGTCCTCATAGTAGACCAGTCTAGAACTTCCTTTTTAGCATGTGGTTGGCAGCTACGAAACACATGTCCTTAGACACATTGATCGGGCGGCCGATGTCTCTGAAGTAGCGATTTAGTCCACTGCGTATTAAGTACAGGGTACTTTTTTTGTAAGTGCCCGTGTCTGCTCCCAGGACCCTGTTACTCGTCCTCTTTCTTGTGGCTTCCATGTAAAATCTCTCCAGGATAGATGCTAGCTTCTCAGGTGTCACACTCGCAAAATCTAGTGACATTTCATGGTCACGACACCAGTCTAACGACAAAATGTAAAATGAAGATAGAATCAGCCAATCAACTAAGTTCTATATAGGGTATTTTTAGATACATATATCAACGTTGTTACATACATATTTAGTATACATTAAGGTTCACCAACCCCTCTGTTGATCTTCATTCTAACAATGATGAGGTACCAATGACATGCATATCCAATGATTCCTACGCATTACATGTGTACTATTATTACATAAACATAGCCGTTTCAATTGAATTTACACAGAATGTACCGATACTAAAACAGAGTTTATCAATATATAATTTTATGAAAGAAAACAAGAACTGAATTTATATTCAGTTTTGTTCATAGACTGATTGATATCTATTAAAATTTGATATATCAAACACGTGCAAGTAATACCATTTTCATAATTGTTTCATGAAAATTTTAAACCTGCTTTTACAAAAAAATAAATATGTCTATACCTTGAACCATTTTTCGGGTCCATTTTGTGACATTTTTTGTTGAATTAGAAGTCTTTTTGTTAAAACCAGATATATAAGGTTTCATGCCTGCCAGTTGTCTCCCCTCTGGGCCAGTTTTTATCATGGTCTTAATCACAGCATTAGCCCTTATATATTGCAAGTCCTTCACAATGTCTATATCATCACGTCCAATGTGACGCAGGTGCCTTTTTATGCTGCTTCTAATAGTGAGGATTGACTGCTTTTGGTATTTAAACTGCTCACACCTATCTGTGTAGAAGGTTTCCAATGCCTTCGCTAGGTCAGAGGGTGTTATAACGCACAGGTCTTTGGACAGACCTGACCTTTCACACCAAGCTACAAACAAACGTTGATAAATATTAGTATTTCTGTTTAACATAAATAACTTCTATTAAATAAGAGGCCTGTAACGCTCATATCTCATTGAATCATGTTGGCTAAATGTTTTAAATCTGATCTGCTAATATCAGTCAATGAAGAGCCTATCAAGGTCATATTGGATTTTTATCATATTTACTTGAAGCTTGTATTTAAATAGCTCCCCCCCCCCCCGAAAGCTACAGGCTAAATATCATTATTTTAGACAGTTTAATTCCATATAAAAAGATTTTTGATGTATACACTATTAATTTGGACAATCTTACATCTCAGCAATCTATGGCCAAATATCATTATCCCGTCTTATGCTTCTTGAGAGGAGTCATTGGAATATTATTTTACATTTGATGTCAATGTCCTTGTGGATCAAGGTCAGTTTTTTTTAACAAAGTTGACAGCCATTTACCCAGCAAGCTATTGGCCATATATCAATATGATAGGCCTAACACTGTATTATGAATCAGATTACCGATATACAATTGATTATTATCACCTTGATCATGGGTCTAGGTCTTTTTTTAACAAAGTTTACTGACCCCAGCAAGCTATGAGCCAAAACTAATAACTCTATGGCCAACAGTTTATTAGCAGGAATTGTTTCCTCGTAACCTTGATTGTGGGTCAAGGTCATTGGAAATATGATATGAAGGGTGCCCCCTAAAGTTTCATACTTTATTAGAAGAATATATTTTTACACATTTGATCACTGTGACTTTGAATGTAAGTCAAAGTAATTTATTTAAACAGAACAAAATTACAACTTCCAATAGTTGACCTTGTGCATACAGTTAATTCTCCTTTACATTTTTTTGTATTTTTCTCTACTTTAAATCTGACAAAACAGTTTACACAATAATGTACCTTTGAAAATGTTGACACCCCACTTTGTGCTGCGCCTTGTATTGCTGGCTATGGGTTTACTCTTGGAAATCGTGTCGGACTGTTTAGCAGTAGCATCCTGCTCATTCTTTTCCATCTTATGCTTAAAGTGCCCGACAGTTGCTTGGTCCATTTTTTCTGTCTTTTTGTATCTTTCTGTCTCGCTTTTCTTAAAGTCTGTCGATTTCCCACAGCCTTCACAATACAAATCATAAGTCTCCAAGTTTGACCACTGTCTTGGATTACAATTTTCAATACCATGGCTTTGAATGTCTGCACATTCTTTGTGATCCTGATTCTGCACATCTAGAATCATTTCATTGCGTAAGTTCTGCAGTAGTGGATGTATAGGTACAAGAGAAGGGTTGGTCTTGGTGGGGTCCCTCGCCACAAAGTCAGCTGAATCCTCCATCTCATCATCTGTACCGTCTGAGGGTATCATTATATAATTATACTCTTCCTCCATTGCTTCCATGTCCAGGACACACTTTCTGCCGTTGTCAGATTCCATGTCAAAGTCAGACTCCATGGCAACACCAGCCTCCATCTCATCTTCATCCTTTCCTTGAGCATGCTGGTCCTGATTTACTTCATTTTCTTTTGTATCAGAAGAAGATGATTTCAAACATTCTTCCAAATACTCCATATCTAGAATCTGAAAAGAGTTCCTGGAACTTTCCTCAGAGTCCTCAACTTTAACGAACCTGGAGGAATTTCTTGAATTATCTTGAAAGTCTTGAATTAAAATTGTAGAATCATTTTCTCTGACTTCGTAATCTTTTTCTTGAAATGAATCTGTTTGCTGACTTCTTTGAAGCCTAATATTTTCAACCTGGGTTTGACAACTAAAATTTACTTCATTGTTCAGTGCTGTGACCATGTAAGAAAAATCTTTGGGGAAATTTGGGGAACTTTCCTGGTTTTCCAAGTGTTTTACCTTGGATGTCCTTGGATCAATCTCCTCCAAGCTTGTCCTTCTCAGACCTATGTCTAACAAGTTGGAGGATTAAGTGTAAGGTTGTAATGTAATAACCATTCTATTTTCTACACTGTAAACCTTAACAAGCGGTCTGCAGCACTAGAAACAAAACCTGTTTATAAGTTTGATGTTAAGACAATTACTGTATAGTTGTCTAATTTCGCAGAGCTAATATTTTGCATTTGTCCCAATCAAAATTAGTTTGTGAGGATTAAATTGCGTGCAACATTGCCAGGTTGTGCTCATGAGGATACTTTTGTATTTGGGTGGTAGGATTTGATTTACAAGGGTTTATCAAAACATAACACAATAACAACTTGGTGTTTTATCTCCATTATTTGGCAGTAAAAGGGTAAATAGGTCTTTTCTTGGATCTCTGTATATTCATCGTATTAATGTTCATTGGGTGTTTAGTTTCGTGCTATCTTTGGGAACTGTAAAAATAGCAAAATTACCTTCCCCATGAAAATTACCAGCTATACAGTATCTGCCGTTGGCTGAAATATGAGTTTTGGGCACCAGAAATCCTAATAAGCATGCTAGTACTATTCCTGTTTTACTGTATTCTGAAATTGAAATAATGAAAAAGGAGTTCACAGTAGTGATTTTTGATGTGATATTATTTCGACATAATATTACATTATAGGAGTATCTACAGGTGTGAATAGAACTGACACATCTTAACACTGACTGTCTTTATACAGACAGAAGTAATAGACAGCGGTGATGTTTATATTTATAGACAGAAGTGATATGTACAGGATACAGTGAGCTAAAAGGATAAAAAACATCAAAGCTACCTTCTCTAACTACAGTGAACAAGTCGACTTAACTTACCTGTGTTTACAGGTACTGGAGCTATGGAGCTCTCAAGGTCCAACACAGGTTCAGAGGTCATTTCTGTTGCCATGCGGAGTGCCATCTGAAGCATGTCTTCCCCAAATTCCCCATTGGGCTGACCAGGTGCAGCAGTGACTTCAGGGACAGGGTCCGGGATAGGGGATGGAGTGTCGGACACTGTATTCCCATCAGCTGGTGGCGTTTCTGTTGGAATGAAGAGAAAATCAAATGTTTCTGCTTTGTTACATAATTAGTTTTATTGTAAAATGGTTTTTAGTTTCATATATTAAATCAAATATTTGTGGTTATCGGACGAACAGTATATTTTAGAAGCAATCATGAACTTTGATGCACACACACTGTAATGTTCTATAAACGAATTCACAGAAAATAATAATTAAGTAATAGGCTTTCTTAGTTGATGAGATACAATATCAGAACATCTTAACAAATATTATTAAAACTGACAAGTTGTGTATGCAGTTACACCGAGTCAAGGTGACCATGGAAGTGGCTGTGTGTCACAGTCCAGGTCTGGAACATGTTGGTACAATACTGTTTAACACTACTTACTAGATGGAGGTAAAATATCTTCATTGTCAGATTCTGACTCTGATTCTGGATCAGCTACTGCCACTGCTTCAGCCATCATCAGAAGCTCGGCTTCCAGGGGGTCAGACGGGATTCTCTCCTGGATTTCCTGCTCACAAAAATGTCCAATTAATATTGTGTTTATCCTGAAAATGCTTTTCCGTAACAATTTATTTATCACATGATATCATGGACTTTCAAAACATAACTTTTGGAGAGCCGTTCTATATAAATTCAAAATGTATCATATCATGATATTATTTACTAATACTTTCCACCTTCATTGACATATTAAACAACTACAACACATGCACAATAAATCAAACCAATGCTCAGAAAACCTGCAAGAGCGAAGCAAGGAGTCATCAGAAACCTTATACACTGAAAATAACCATCTCAGACCTAATGTTATTCCTAGTGTTTGGGCCTTTGATATACTAACAATGTACAGTGCATATGTAGGTCTCAGGGATGATGTGCTGACAATTCCTCACAGTACCACAGTATATAGGGTCAAGGGTTTGAGATTGTGATGGTTTTCTACACTGTATACTAAGGTTACTAGGATAATATACTGAAGATTCCTCACCATACTGCAGTATAGGGTCCCTAGGCAGTGAGAAATCATCAGTGCACTTATCCCAGTAACAATTTATCATAACTACTAAGAGTCCTACCATAGAGACCTGTATACTGAGGTCATTAGTTTAGAAACTCTTGCACTGACCTTTATGTGTTTAAAAATGCTGCTGGCTGACTTCTTGGTTGTTGGGATGAAGCAGGGTACAGGAATGGGTACAGGGATAGGGATGGGCACTGGTGTGTACTGGGTGTACATCATCATGGGCACAGGGATGTAGTAGGGGATGGGTATTGGTACCAGGCACTGCTTCGGTGTCCAGTCATCCTCTGTAATACAAAACACTTGTCCTTTATATAACTCCATACAGACACTTTTGTCCTTATGTTGAATAATCAATGAATATAAAGTGCAATACGTCTAGACTTTTGGCATTTGGTCCTGACACTGGCAATGAATATTAAGAACATTTCTATAATCTGCCCAAATCATGTGGTAAATTGAGTGTCTGATTTATATAAACAAATGTTTTGATGTGAAAAGAGAACACCAGATAAAAATCGCCACAAATTTGGGGAGTCTGAGTCTCCTTGGTCTGTGTGTGGGGCCTACAGGATGTGGCCTTGGTCTGTTCTATAACTTACCTGTCTGAGTCTCCTTGGTCTGTGTGTCGGGCGTACAGGATGTGGCCTTGGTCTGTACTATAACTTATCTGTCTGAGTCTCCTTGGTCTGTGTGTGGGGCCTACAGGATGTGGCCTTGGTCTGTACTATGACTTACCTGTCTGAGTCTCCTTGGTCTGTGTGTCGGGCGTACAGGATGTGGCCTTGGTCTGTACTATGACTTACCTGTCTCAGTCTCCTTGGTCTGTGTGTCGGGCGTACAGGATGTGGCCTTGGTCTGTACTATAACTTACCTGTCTGAGTCTCCTTGGTCTGTGTGTCGGGCGTACAGGATGTGGCCTTGGTCTGTTCTATAACTTACCTGTCTGAGTCTCCTTGGTCTGTGTGTGGAGCCTACAGGATGTGGCCTTAGTCTGAACTATAACTTACCTGTCTTAGTCTCCTTGGTCTGTGTGTGGGGCCTACAGGATGTGGCCTTGGTCTGTACTATGACTTACCTGTCTGAGTCTCCTTGGTCTGTGTGTGGGGCCTACAGGATGTTGCCTTAGTCTGTACGAAAGGTTTACACAGTAGTGATTTGTTCTTGACTGTCTTTGGTGGTGGGGGCTGGATGATGATCTGTTGGGGTGGTGTCTGCATTGCTGTGGTTGTCACAGATGGCTGTCAAAATACAGAAGCTTTTCTAGTGAATGAAACAATCCATGTGGATAATATAAGGCTATAAGGGAAACTGGGGACAACCCTTCTTATTGCTAAAGTTAACCTTATATTGTAGAATTATACTATTTTCTTAATGCAAATGAATATAAGGAACGAAGTTTATTCTAAGCTAGAAGTATTATCAGTAAGATGTTCTCATTTTAATTTGTTTATGGCTTAATCTTTACAAACATAATGTACACAGAAAAAATGTTGGTAACTGAATAGGTATTATATAATGTAGATTGCTTACAATTTACAAGACAAACATGAAGAATGACCTTGAATTTTGCAACGCAAAAAGATTTAACATTCATTTAAGACATGATTACTGGTCCTTACTGAACTTTTTTAAATATAACTCAAAATAACTCAATCATAATAATGATAATAGTTTGAGGTTCTTATATACCGCTTAATCACAACCTAGTTCGTAGGTCGTCTCAAAGCGGTTCACAAATTATTATCCGTGGTTATACAGCCTTTGCAACCAGCCAACATCTTTCTCAACTCCCTGGGGAGCATACAGTCGGTGGTGCCATTTCGACGCTCACAGCTAGCATTCTACAATTCTAGCAATGCCCAACCATGTACTCATTTACAGCTGAGTAGACATAAGGTTGTTTTTTCTTACATAAAACTACCAACCATGTTATCAGTATATTTTTTAACACACAAATCAAGTGTTTGAAGTGTTACAAACCCTGGGTTGGGCCTGGCTGTTGACTAGGGTTGGCATCTGAGTGTTCCTCATAACTTGCTGTGGCCCTATAACATACCAGCATTTCCAGAGGTCATTTCTTGGTTACAATTCATATTACTTATTATCATGAGTTAATTAATGATAATGAAAAAGACTATAATTACATTATAAAATCATCCTGTAGTTGTTAATGGAACGGTCATCTTCAAATTTCTATGCAACATAATGTCTAACAGTGATCATCCACCGGTGTTTTAATTGTCATTGAGGTATCCGTTTAAGTTTGATTCTAGTTGGGAAAGGAAAATACACGTGACATGTGACAATGAAAATCAGACATTTGATCTAATGCACCTAGAGTATGTGACACAGGATCTAGTAGTGCTGTACCTATCTGTATTAACTTTTATTGAGTTATCTGTTGTAATGAAAATGTTAGGCTGAGAAATGTAACTTCAGAATAAGACATTTAACTTTAAACAATGACCTTAGCTTTGGGTGAATGTTGAAGAAAATAATATGCAATAAATAGACTGTTGTTGAAAACGAAGTAGTGTCTAGTAAAAATGTATGTGCGTGTCAAAAGTTTCATAAATGCAGCTGTTGTAAAGTGAATGTAATAAGGTTAAACAAGGTAAGTGCCATAGAATGAATCTACATAATAGACACAAATTCTGATGCCGGTGAACGAAAAACAAAAAGGATAGTATGAGGAAATTTGCACATGGTTATCAAAGGAAAATCTCACAATTTTTGTCAAAGGACATTAATAAATATCTCTTTATATTTCAACAATATTGTTTAAATCTAAATAGACTGAAAAATCATAAATCATTTAGCCCCATACTACATGTATATATACTGACAGCTTTTACTCCAGTAGTTACAAAACAAAAGCATGCATTAAAACTATACACACCAAAGCTACAGTAAATCATGTGCCTTTCACCCAATGTTCTACGTATATTTACAGGGATCATATTGATTTACATACATCTTAAATTCCCATTAAATATTTTATATATGATATTTCTAAAATGAAACTGTATTGTTGTACTCTAGAGAAGCAAAACTGATACATAGTAATCTGAAAGCAATAATTTATGTCTTAATTACCCAGGACATTTTGTTAAGGATGGAAGAGAGAAGTGGGTGAAAGATACTTGAAAAAAATATATATTTAAAGCAATTTTAATTTTGAACATAAAATTAATGAAGCAGCAGATGTTCTCAAAATTAATCTATTATAACATATATACGGTGGGTTCTTCAAATATAATTCTTGAACTAATTTGTTATTTCCAAAATGCATGGCCATTAAAATTCCTCAACATTTTAAAATGAAAATTTCATAAAAACAAACAAACTTCATATTGAGTTGTTTCCTTTAGATTATACACATCTTCAGATTTTCATATCAATCAGCTTGCAACTTTATAAATCTAAAAACAAATCTGAATTTGAGATAAACAACCTTTCTCAAAATGAACAATAGGATTTATAAGTAAAATTTAATTCTTAACATCTAGGAACACCATCCCATTTGATAGCAAATGTGTAATTGCAAGACGTGTAGAGTGTAAGCACATGGAAACACTAGTAATAAATATTCCAAGCAAGTTTAATATAGTAATTAAGCAAAATATAAAACTAGACAAAAAACTGATCTTGTTCCAAAATAATACTGTAACATTACAGTTACAATGTATGATATCTCTATAGAGATGTGAACAGATACAGGACCGACCAGGTCATATGGAAAAAACATCTGTATAATATCCTCTTTCTGATATACTGTATATACTGCTTATCAATCAACCCGACTTAACATGCATGCATATATCTAATGCAGAGTTTTATTTAAATTTTCCCAGTAAAAATATAAGAACATTTGAGCAAGCAGACTTATAGTATATTTTTCAAATAATTTGTAAATTGTAAATAAAATCAAGAGAAGAATCAACTCATGACTCAAAACTTTGCAGTTTTTAAATGTATGTTGTTAAAATATATATCTGGAAACAAGATCAAACGTTTTGTATAATCTCAAAAAGCGCATGCTTTTTGCAAATTAAATACCTCGTATCAATTGGACATTGTTTTTTTTAGCCTGGGTCTTGCTTGCATCTGCAGCAAGATATCAAATTTGAACCATTAATTGATTTTATACATACAAGTTTTCAGTATAACAATAAATAAGTATTAATCCTTCTGTTATACTATTCAATATATGTACAACAGGTTTGGTCGATATGAAAATAACAAAACCTTATATAGAATACTGCTATCTATGGAAAATGCAATACATTAGTAATACCTAAATTTATCAAAACAAAATGGCAATATTTATCTTAACTTATACACAAACCAGAAAAAAACCTTTCTCTCTCTAATCTTACTTTTAACAGTACCTTTCTCTGAAACGAAACTTATTTAAAAAAGAAAAGAAAAAAATGTAGACACTAATGTTGATGTTGACAAGCTGAGAAGTTGTGAACATCTACATCTTATAATCTGTGTACACGAGGAGACAGAAGGGAAATTGGTTATGCTGATAATGGTCAGCAGGAGAACGTTTTTACTAGAGTTTAGCCACAAGCTGTGACCTGTACTTACCTGTGTTCTGAGATGACAAGGAAACCACATTAGAGATAACAGGAACATGGGTCTGTTTCTGCTGTGAGGAAACCACTGGAACAGACACAGAATACATGTTAAGATATTTATTAGAGCTATAACAGAAATAAATGGCATGGATCCACATTTTTTACCAACTCTCTGAATTATTTCTTCCTGGGGCCCACTTTACAAATGTTAACTATCATGTAAGACACTATATTATAAATCTAGATCTCATCAATTTTAATATGTGCCCTAGTGCTCCTTCCCTTCCTACATTCATATCTATTTTAGCCCTTATGAGAAGGAGATAATTCTCACGGTCAAAAAGAAAATTTAGACAACACTCAGTGATGAACAGAATGTTTTGCTTTACACTAAAAAGTGGTTGAAATTGTGTTCATTGGTCAATACACTGACTTATGACCTTTATCATGTGAACTTTGAACAAGTTCAACAATCATGGGTTGTGGAGAACTAACATATCATATATATGTTACTGAACTCCTGATGGTTGATCATCATGTTTTACTATACTAAGTTAAGCCATCTTGTACATTACATATGAATTTTGAATTATCTAATTATGTATATTTGTAACCTATATGCTGTATTGCATTTGGATATAATAAAACTTCAACAAATAGAAACTCATTACCTCAGGTGTCTACTAAAATTTGGAAACTAAGTTACTTTGAGGGAGATGGACATTACACCCAACCATATCTTATCGGGGGAAACTATTATGATCAATAAGTTATAGGATGACAAATTTGGAAATAATGCATTTTTTTTTTATCTTTTCCTAATAAACATGAACTTTTAGAAAGAGTGCCTCTAGTAAAAGATTGTTTGTACCTCTAGAGGATGCTCTAGTTGGGGTGTTTTTGTTGTTGGTCCTTGGAGTTGGAGTTTTCTGGTTTTGTGGAGCAGTGTTCATTATAGGTGTTTGAGATTTATTAGCGCCTCCAGCAAATTGAGATTGAAACGTCATGACACATTGATAGGAACAGAAGTTCCTCACAGAGGCATCACTCATGGTAAGGTGATACTGGGCCGGTACAAATTTCCTACACTGGTCACACACCACTGCTTGGTTGGAGGTTGCCTGTAGGTTCACTCGGTATAATGAAAGACAGTTGAGCGAGCAAAAGAGTTGGTATTTGTTGTTGGCATCCACACGCTCTATCATGTCAAAGTTGCTCTTCTTACAGTTACACCAGGCGCAAGATACCACCTTTTTGTTCAGAGTTTTGAAAGTGTTCACACACATGAAGCTACAGAAACGTTTCTGTTGGCCTTCAAATTGTATGTACTGAGGTGCCATACCCTCATTGTAACAGTAAACACCACAGTTGTCACAAGTGTTCATCGTCAGTTTATTGGCATACTGAAAAGCTGAGAAACATGGGTCTCCACACAATCTATTCATCCTCCCTTCCAGTTTTATCTCATGCTTTACAGGCCCGGTCTTCCTACAAACAGCACATTGGAAGTTCCCTTTAGGGGGCACCTGAGATTTCTGAGGACGGTCAATGCCAACAATCTCAACATCTCGATTAGATTTCTCCTCGTACTTCTGTAAACAGCCTTGACTACAAAAGTCCTTGAATAAAGCATCTTTCCCAACTGGTGCCACAAAAGCATCAGATATTTTGGTAACATCCTTCTGACAAAATTCACAAAGCTTTTGTCTCTTTTTGAATTCGTTGTAACAGGGGCCAGAACAAAATTGCTTGACATCGTTATCAACCCGAGCACAGAATTTACCCTTTGAGGCTTGCTGAACAGTTTGACCACAATAGTTACAAGCAGCATTCAGTCCTGCCTGAAACTTTCCTAGACAGTCTTCGCCACAGAAGTCCATACACTGCCAGTTGAGGAAAGGCTTGGATGTTTTCACATTCATCAGCTGACATATGGAGCATGTCTTGTACCTCTCCTGAGATGGTGGAGGAACAGACGGGGGCGGGGCCTGGGCAGGGCTCTCCGGCTTCTTAGTCACCTGAGTGTCGGAGGATGCACGAAGAAACATGGTGGGATTGGCACGGAATTGCTTGAAGCAGACATCATCACACAGGTGCTTGATGTCTCCATTTCTCACAATGTTATATTTACATTTACCAATCTGAAAAAATAATGTCAACATTAATTTTAAAATTTTGTTGATATGACTCAAAAGAGGTGAAGGAAAATGTACCATTTCTCACAATATCATGCAAAACGTATTTACTTTTACCAATTTGAAAAAAAGCAATGCCAGCATAAAAAGGTGCAAGTTTTGTTGATGTGACTCAAAACAGGTGAAGAAAGATGTCCCAGTTTTAAGAACTACATTCTGAGTTTTAAGATCAACATTTTAGACTCTAGACCTCATTACCAGTTTGAATGTTGGGATAACAGATATTTGATTTTCAAATATCTATCAAAGTTCTAAACTAATAAAAGATTAGACATAAAATCTCAACATAATAAAGATAAGCAGTATGTTGTTCATTGGTCTACCTATCACAGTGTTGCTCAGTATTCCCCCAAACTCCTAAATGAGAATGTTCACCTCCAAAATGACTGTACACTTATTTTGCAGGGACAAAGGACCCTAGTTTAGAGAATTTTGAAAATCTAATTATACTTCAAATCCTAAGTCCATGGAGAACACTGGCGTTTGCTATGGAAACCTATTTCTAAGGCAGGTCACCATCAAGCTGACAAGCTGATGATGACATGTCATTGTCAAGGTCACACACACTATCTCAGGACTTGACCAGTGTGCCTGTACCAGCTGACTTTCACTTCAGACAAATGGTCTTTACATAAAATAGGTCAGGATCACAATCTTTCAAACAATTGAACAACGGAACTTGTTGCAAAGACTTCTGGTGTGCTGCAAATACGGGACAATTTAAAATTGACAAATTTTATATGTTCAATGGCTAATGAAATGAAAATTGAAAGACAAATTTTCTGATAGTTTTTATCTTCCAATACATTCTTGAATCAGACAAGTAGACAAGTATGTCATGTTTTAATTATTCATATTACGGTAAGGAGTTTGTAAGCCAATGGATCTGCGAGTGATTTGAAGCAGTGATCCCATGCCTACCTTCTGACAGACAATACAGGTCTGAGTTTTGGATGTACTCTTTGGTTTTGCCTCTCCGCTTTTAGGTTCTTGTTTGATGTCCTTGGAAACTGAGTATTGGAACAAGATTAACAAATAAAATAACCAAATTCAATATGAAATCTTATTTCCAATAAAATGAATGTTAAATAATGAGTTCCTCATAATAGCACTCAAATATATACTGAATTTATTCAATTTTAAACAAAATGTCAAAATTTTATAAGAAAGAACAACTTGCCTTCCGTATATATTTGTGTCATTCCCTATATATTTATGTCATTCCCTATATATTTGTGTCATTCCCTATATATTTGTGTTATTCCCTATATATTTGTGTCATTCCCTATATATTTATGTCATTCCCTATATATATTTGTGTCATTCCCTATATATTTGTGTCATTCCCTATATATTTGTGTCATTCCCTATATATTTGTGTGATTCCCTATATATTTGTGTCATTCCCTATATATTTGTGTCATTCCCTATATATTTGTGTCATTCCCTATATATTTGTGTCATTCCCTATATATTTGTGTCATTCCCTATATATTTGTGTCATTCCCTATATATTTGTGTCATTCCCTATATATTTGTGTCATTCCCTATATATTTGTGTCATTCCCTATATATTTGTGTCATTCCCTATATATTTGTGTCATTCCCTATATATTTGTGTCATTCCCTATATATTTGTGTCATTCCCTATATATTTGTGTCATTCCCTATATATTTGTGTCATTCCCTATATATTTGTGTCATTCCCTATATATTTGTGTCATTCCCTATATATTTGTGTCATTCCCTATATATTTGTGTCATTCCCTATATATTTGTGTCATTCCCTATATATTTGTGTCATTCCCTATATATTTGTGTCATTCCCTATATATTTGTGTCATTCCCTATATATTTGTGTCATTCCCTATATATTTGTGTCATTCCCTATATATTTGTGTCATTCCCTATATATTTGTGTCATTCCCTATATATTTGTGTCATTCCCTATATATTTGTGTCATTCCCTATATATTTGTGTCATTCCCTATATATTTGTGTCATTCCCTATATATTTGTGTCATTCCCTATATATTTGTGTCATTCCCTATATATTTGTGTCATTCCCTATATATTTGTGTCATTCCCTATATATTTGTGTCATTCCCTATATATTTGTGTCATTCCCTATATATTTGTGTCATTCCCTATATATTTGTGTCATTCCCTATATATTTGTGTCATTCCCTATATATTTGTGTCATTCCCTATATATTTGTGTCATTCCCTATATATTTGTGTCATTCCCTATATATTTGTGTCATTCCCTATATATTTGTGTCATTCCCTATATATTTGTGTCATTCCCTATATATTTGTGTCATTCCCTATATATTTGTGTCATTCCCTATATATTTGTGTCATTCCCTATATATTTGTGTCATTCCCTATATATTTGTGTCATTCCCTATATATTTGTGTCATTCCCTATATATTTGTGTGATTCCCTATATATTTGTGTCATTCCCTATATATTTGTGTCATTCCCTATATATTTGTGTCATTCCCTATATATTTGTGTGATTCCCTATATATTTGTGTCATTCCCTATATATTTGTGTCATTCCCTATATATTTGTGTCATTCCCTATATATTTGTGTGATTCCCTATATATTTGTGTCATTCCCTATATATTTGTGTCATTCCCTATATATTTGTGTCATTCCCTATATATTTGTGTCATTCCCTATATATTTGTGTCATTCCCTATATATTTGTGTCATTCCCTATATATTTGTGTCATTCCCTATATATTTGTGTCATTCCCTATATATTTGTGTCATTCCCTATATATTTGTGTCATTCCCTATATATTTGTGTCATTCCCTATATATTTGTGTCATTCCCTATATATTTGTGTCATTCCCTATATATTTGTGTCATTCCCTATATATTTGTGTCATTCCCTATATATTTGTGTCATTCCCTATATATTTGTGTCATTCCCTATATATTTGTGTCATTCCCTATATATTTGTGTCATTCCCTATATATTTGTGTCATTCCCTATATATTTGTGTCATTCCCTATATATTTGTGTCATTCCCTATATATTTGTGTCATTCCCTATATATTTGTGTCATTCCCTATATATTTGTGTCATTCCCTATATATTTGTGTCATTCCCTATATATTTGTGTCATTCCCTATATATTTGTGTCATTCCCTATATATTTGTGTCATTCCCTATATATTTGTGTCATTCCCTATATATTTGTGTCATTCCCTATATATTTGTGTGATTCCCTATATATTTGTGTCATTCCCTATATATTTGTGTCATTCCCTATATATTTGTGTGATTCCCTATATATTTGTGTGATTCCCTATATATTTGTGTCATTCCCTATATATTTGTGTCATTCCCTATATATTTGTGTGATTCCCTATATATTTGTGTCATTCCCTATATATTTGTGTCATTCCCTATATATTTGTGTGATTCCCTATATATTTGTGTCATTCCCTATATATTTGTGTCATTCCCTATATATTTGTGTGATTCCCTATATATTTGTGTCATTCCCTATATATTTGTGTCATTCCCTATATATTTGTGTGATTCCCTATATATTTGTGTCATTCCCTATATATTTGTGTCATTCCCTATATATTTGTGTGATTCCCTATATATTTGTGTCATTCCCTATATATTTGTGTCATTCCCTATATATTTGTGTGATTCCCTATATATTTGTGTCATTCCCTATATATTTGTGTCATTCCCTATATATTTGTGTCATTCCCTATATATTTGTGTCATTCCCTATATATTTGTGTCATTCCCTATATATTTGTGTCATTCCCTATATATTTGTGTCATTCCCTATATATTTGTGTCATTCCCTATATATTTGTGTCATTCCCTATATATTTGTGTCATTCCCTATATATTTGTGTCATTCCCTATATATTTGTGTCATTCCCTATATATTTGTGTCATTCCCTATATATTTGTGTCATTCCCTATATATTTGTGTCATTCCCTATATATTTGTGTCATTCCCTATATATTTGTGTCATTCCCTATATATTTGTGTCATTCCCTATATATTTGTGTCATTCCCTATATATTTGTGTCATTCCCTATATATTTGTGTCATTCCCTATATATTTGTGTCATTCCCTATATATTTGTGTCATTCCCTATATATTTGTGTCATTCCCTATATATTTGTGTCATTCCCTATATATTTGTGTCATTCCCTATATATTTGTGTCATTCCCTATATATTTGTGTCATTCCCTATATATTTGTGTCATTCCCTATATATTTGTGTCATTCCCTATATATTTGTGTCATTCCCTATATATTTGTGTCATTCCCTATATATTTGTGTCATTCCCTATATATTTGTGTCATTCCCTATATATTTGTGTCATTCCCTATATATTTGTGTCATTCCCTATATATTTGTGTCATTCCCTATATATTTGTGTCATTCCCTATATATTTGTGTCATTCCCTATATATTTGTGTCATTCCCTATATATTTGTGTCATTCCCTATATATTTGTGTCATTCCCTATATATTTGTGTGATTCCCTATATATTTGTGTCATTCCCTATATATTTGTGTCATTCCCTATATATTTGTGTGATTCCCTATATATTTGTGTGATTCCCTATATATTTGTGTCATTCCCTATATATTTGTGTCATTCCCTATATATTTGTGTCATTCCCTATATATTTGTGTCATTCCCTATATATTTGTGTCATTCCCTATATATTTGTGTCATTCCCTATATATTTGTGTCATTCCCTATATATTTGTGTCATTCCCTATATATTTGTGTCATTCCCTATATATTTGTGTCATTCCCTATATATTTGTGTCATTCCCTATATATTTGTGTCATTCCCTATATATTTGTGTCATTCCCTATATATTTGTGTCATTCCCTATATATTTGTGTCATTCCCTATATATTTGTGTCATTCCCTATATATTTGTGTCATTCCCTATATATTTGTGTCATTCCCTATATATTTGTGTCATTCCCTATATATTTGTGTCATTCCCTATATATTTGTGTCATTCCCTATATATTTGTGTCATTCCCTATATATTTGTGTCATTCCCTATATATTTGTGTCATTCCCTATATATTTGTGTCATTCCCTATATATTTGTGTCATTCCCTATATATTTGTGTCATTCCCTATATATTTGTGTCATTCCCTATATATTTGTGTCATTCCCTATATATTTGTGTCATTCCCTATATATTTGTGTCATTCCCTATATATTTGTGTCATTCCCTATATATTTGTGTCATTCCCTATATATTTGTGTCATTCCCTATATATTTGTGTCATTCCCTATATATTTGTGTCATTCCCTATATATTTGTGTCATTCCCTATATATTTGTGTCATTCCCTATATATTTGTGTCATTCCCTATATATTTGTGTCATTCCCTATATATTTGTGTCATTCCCTATATATTTGTGTCATTCCCTATATATTTGTGTCATTCCCTATATATTTGTGTCATTCCCTATATATTTGTGTGATTCCCTATATATTTGTGTCATTCCCTATATATTTGTGTCATTCCCTATATATTTGTGTCATTCCCTATATATTTGTGTGATTCCCTATATATTTGTGTCATTCCCTATATATTTGTGTCATTCCCTATATATTTGTGTCATTCCCTATATATTTGTGTCATTCCCTATATATTTGTGTCATTCCCTATATATTTGTGTCATTCCCTATATATTTGTGTCATTCCCTATATATTTGTGTCATTCCCTATATATTTGTGTCATTCCCTATATATTTGTGTCATTCCCTATATATTTGTGTCATTCCCTATATATTTGTGTCATTCCCTATATATTTGTGTCATTCCCTATATATTTGTGTCATTCCCTATATATTTGTGTCATTCCCTATATATTTGTGTCATTCCCTATATATTTGTGTCATTCCCTATATATTTGTGTCATTCCCTATATATTTGTGTCATTCCCTATATATTTGTGTCATTCCCTATATATTTGTGTCATTCCCTATATATTTGTGTCATTCCCTATATATTTGTGTCATTCCCTATATATTTGTGTCATTCCCTATATATTTGTGTGATTCCCTATATATTTGTGTCATTCCCTATATATTTGTGTCATTCCCTATATATTTGTGTCATTCCCTATATATTTGTGTGATTCCCTATATATTTGTGTCATTCCCTATATATTTGTGTCATTCCCTATATATTTGTGTCATTCCCTATATATTTGTGTCATTCCCTATATATTTGTGTCATTCCCTATATATTTGTGTCATTCCCTATATATTTGTGTCATTCCCTATATATTTGTGTCATTCCCTATATATTTGTGTCATTCCCTATATATTTGTGTCATTCCCTATATATTTGTGTCATTCCCTATATATTTGTGTCATTCCCTATATATTTGTGTCATTCCCTATATATTTGTGTCATTCCCTATATATTTGTGTCATTCCCTATATATTTGTGTCATTCCCTATATATTTGTGTCATTCCCTATATATTTGTGTCATTCCCTATATATTTGTGTCATTCCCTATATATTTGTGTCATTCCCTATATATTTGTGTCATTCCCTATATATTTGTGTCATTCCCTATATATTTGTGTGATTCCCTATATATTTGTGTCATTCCCTATATATTTGTGTCATTCCCTATATATTTGTGTCATTCCCTATATATTTGTGTCATTCCCTATATATTTGTGTCAATAATTTTGCAAACCTAGAGTAGTTTGTTTTACATTTTTGGCAGTACGATTTTTTACAGTAAAACATTGTAAAATCATTTTATTTAGCTGTTAAGTATTCGCTTTGAAAGAATGATAGTTGTACAAGAAATAATTCCTGAACCTGTCTAAACATGAAGCAACAACATTTAACAGCATACAATTATTCATCTTACCCGTTTCTTCCTTGATTTTGATATCCTGTTCTCTCTTCCCTTCTTTCTTATCCTCAAACTGTGGAGAGAAAAAACCCAATAAAACAACAGTTAATTGAAAAATACAATTTTGATACAATAATAGTACTATTTACATGTTTCTTATTCCTTAGGTTTGTCTACCTTAAATGATTTTTTTTAAAAACCAAAGTGTCTGCCACAAATTTTGCCCACAATTTCATGGAGGGGGGGGGGGGGGGGGCAGGAAATTTCGAAGCACTTGTACATGTAAGTAGCTAGTTCTAAAGTCCCTTTTCTATTCATTGAAATATTAATGGACATAACTAACCTTTGATTGAGCCAGAGTATTTTTTTGGTATTTGCCTTGAATAAATGTGTTTAATTTGGTTCTTGCCTGAACCTTAAAGTAAGTTGCAAACATGGATTTTCACACCCCTATTAAAAGAGTTTTTACATTAAAATCTGCCAGTTAATGTCAACTTTATTCGTATTACGACAATAACGATTCAGTCAATATTACTCACTACTACTGGGCTTGATTGAAGTGTTGAAGCGCACAGAGAGTCTTAGTGTGAAAGAAAACTGGATTACCCAGAGAAAACCCAAATGGTCAGGCAGATGACCTATTACCATTTCAAGTCTGATCAGAGTCAAACCCCAGTGTGCTCTCCACCTTTTCGTTACCACCCACAAATCTTGCCAGTGAGTGACCCTGAGTAGGTTTTTCAGTATTACATCCTATCATGAAGCCTACCAGTACAGCAAAACCAACATGGCAGACATTCATTTCATTTTGAAAAACACTTACAACTTTTAAAATTATACATTGATTAAAGAACTGTTGGTGTATTACTTACGTTTTGTTCTGGCATGTCAACCCCTCCACTGACCGAGGCATTGTACACTGATTTAACTGTTGGTGTAATACTTACGTTTTGTTCTGGCATGTCGACCCCTCCGCTGACCAAGGCATTGTACACTGATTTAACAACTGTTGGTGTATTACTTACATTTTGTTCTGGCATGTCGACCCCTCAGCTGACCGTGGCATTGTACGATGATTTAACAACTGTTGGTGTATTACTTACATTTTGTTCTGGCATGTCGACCCCTCCACTGCCCGAGGCATTGTACACTGATTTAACAACTGTTGGTGTATTACTTACATTTTGTTCTGGCATGTCGACCCCTCCACTGCCCGAGGAATTGTACACTGATTTAACAACTGTTGGGGTAATACTTACGTTTTGTTCTGGCATGCCGCCCCCGCCGCTGACCGTGGCATTGTACGATGATTTAACAACTGTTGGTGTATTACTTACGTTTTGTTCTGGCATGATGACCCTTCCGCTGACCGAGGCATTGTACACTGATTTAACAACTGTTGGTGTAATACTTACGTTTTGTTCTGGCATGTCGACCCCTCCACTGACTGAGGCAATCTGTAAACACATCTCTCCATTCTCCACCACAGACTTGTCATCTTTCTTTTCATCCTTCACTGACACGTTTTTGTCCTTGACCTTGTCTTCCTCATCATCAGATTGAATGTCTATTATCTTAACATCGTCGTCATCTTCTTCTTCTGCAGACTTGTTAGCTTTAGGTTTTTCTATGGGTTCAGATTTCACTTCTTTCAGTTTATCTTCACATTTGATATTCTTGTCCCCATCCTTTTTCATTTCTACATCATTATCTGTATCTTTAACCTCTGCAATGTCATTTTGAACATCACTTTCTTCATCCTTCTTTACCTCTTTTTCTGCATCTGCCATTTCAACATCATCATCTTTCTTCCCTTCATCTGCATCAGATATCCTCCTGCTATTCTCTCCAGTTTCCTCTTCAGTTTCTTTTTTAGAGGAGTTTTGGTCAACGTCCATCATTTCTGTGTCATCCAACATCTCTGCATTTCCAGTTACAGAACCAATCTGTAGCATCATGTCACCAGGGGAGTTCTGCTCTTCATCCTGTTTAGATTCATCAGATTTTCTTTCTGTACTGTCATTACTTTCCGACTTTTCTAACATTTCAGCACTGTCCTTGTTTTCCTCATCTTCCAGCAACTTATCTTCATCTATAATGTATTGCTCTTCCTGTTTTCCATCTTCTTCCTCATCATTTTTTAAATCTTTGTCATCCTCTAGCAGTTCATCTTCATCTTCTGGTGACTGAACAGTATTACTAGTTTCTTCTGTTTCGGCATGAACTTCATCGGTCACCTCTGATTCCTCAGAATTTTTCAAATCCTCTTTATCTTGTAAACTGTCACATACATTTTCTGTCTCATGTATATCTGTGGTTTGATCTTTGTCATTATTTTCTGTTAAATTATCAGTCTCTGTGCCTTCTACATTTTCAACAATATCGGTTTCTGTTTGAGAATCTGATGCTGTGAAATCCTCTACATCTGTAGAATGCGCTGCTACTGAAGTATTTTCTGCAATGGGGGAGTCCTCTAATTCTGGCAAGTCCTCTTCGGTTGGTGAATCTTTTACTGTCAATGAATCTTCCACTATTGGTGAATCTTCCGCCGGTGTGGAGTCTGATAAAGCTGAATCCTCGTTGACGGCCGAATCCTCTATTGCTGGTGAATCTTCTACAGCTGTCATGTCATCTACAGTTGAGGACTCTTTTGCATTCTCCGATTCTTCTTCCATTACAATACCTACATCTCCAGAACCAGTTGTTTCCAAGGTCTCCTCAGTGTTTTTCTCCTCTTCATTTTCTTCTTCCTCCTCTGTGTGTTTTTTACTTTCATCTGAATCGGTTACATCTTCAGATTCTTTGTTCTGATCTATACTCTGGTCTATACTTTGTTCTAAAAGGTAAAAAGTTATCTGTTAAGAACTTGTTTAATTTCACAAATACACAACAGCACAGAATTAATTTCATGATGTAAATTCAGTATATAAGAGATTGTAATGTATTTGAAGTTACATCCAGCATATTGTATAAGACAGATCATTAAGTTATCTAAGTGTGAATTTTGTTTCCATCACCAAAATACCACCCTTTAAATTTCCCCTTGAAGTGTTTTTTGCAGCAGTGAAATAGATGAGTTTGGATTGATTTAGGGTATTTCAGAGCCCTCAGTAGGTGCATAATCAAGTTGTGCATTATTCATAAAAGTTCAAGGATTTTGAAATTTCTAAGATCACAAATAAAATCTAAATTGTCAAAATATGAACTCAGGTTACACAGTTTGTAAAAGGAAATCCTAAACATTTCCAACAGTGAGAATTATTTGAACACTCTTGATAGCAATGTATCAAGCTGTAACAGCATGAGTACTGTATCATGAGTTTTTTTCTGACTTGATAACTGTTCACCTTGGCAAGCTACAGGACGAGGAAGAGGACTATAGGCCACATTGCTCTGTAGAAGGTACATGGAATCTTGAATGCATTTGACAGTAGCAGTGCACCCACCTTCATCACTCTATGCCTCATGGTTTTGCAATAAAGAAAAATCTGACTGATGGATCCATGACAAATGTTGCAATATTGAACAAGTTCACATGACAAGTGAACTATAAAACTCTTAGCAGAATCCTGTGTGGAAAAAGGTGTTTTAACAGCTACATCAATTGTTATTGATTGTTTAGTATTGGTGCATTGCTGATACATTGCTATCCTGGCCACCTGGGGTAGATCTGTAACAGCTAAGGAATATGAGGGGAAAATACTGCCTTTCTGGCAAGCTAGCTTTTGCAGTGATGCAAACTTATAACCTGGGAACCCGCTCACTAGTTCAGCAACGTCGAGCGTGGTCAGTAGTTGGATGGGTGACCCCCCTGCACATTACAGATCAATTTTATTTTCACACCCTAAATCTTTTTTGGAAAAGGTACATGCTGATGGAAACACTTTACAGAGTGTTTTTTTTTTACTGCACACATTTAAACTTTAAATTACAAAAATAATGCATCATATGTACTGATTAAGAATTACTCATCTGATTGACATCAATACCAACCTGTTGTTGCATTATCACCAGTAGGTCCAACATCATCCGGCTGCAAATATACAATTAATATATATTACAGTTTGCTTCCATCAAAGCTGGGTGTTTTTTTTGAATTTGTGGAAATCGTTTTTGAGGAACCTGAATTAACTTCATTACTGGCCTGATAAAAGCACTGTTCAAAAATTTATTTTATACACAAGAATTGAGAACCTAGCTGTTTCATTTTTCAAATCTTATCAACTCATCAAATGCTCAAGTTTTTTTGTTTTTTTTTTAAAAGTAATTCAAAATCATAGATTATGTTATGATGAATTGCATTTAAAACACAAAAAGTTTAAAGTTTAATTAATTTTCACTTTGGAACATCGGGCCACAATATGAGATACAGTTTGCAAAATAGGTGTTTAAGTGTCAGGGGCAGGTCCAAGAATTTACATAGAGGTGAATGATCCAACAACTTTTTTTTAATAGAATCTCTAGAAGCTTTATTGGTCTCTGGTGCCATCTGGAACATTTTTAGAATGCATGCAATTTGTAATTATAATTTACTGAAGTTTTAGGTAATTTCAATTAAATAATATATCACTTTCAGCATTAAAAAAATGTCCATTGGCGAAATTATAAAAAGTTTCAGTATGATTATTTTATAATAATACAGCATGATATGTATCATTTCCCCATCTCCATTCATTAAAGGAGGCAATTTGCCCTTCTATAGCTCTGCCATAATCTATTAAGTTCCAGTGAAATATTAGAGTTATCTCCCTTGCCAAATGTTGGACAATGCTTCATCTTATTGTCGGCCAACTTTTCATATTCGTAATAAACATAGCGGTTATTTTTCTGTTCTTCGTTCGATCTATATCCATAATTCTTAGAAATTACCCCAATAGTATCCTTAACAGCATCGTTGATGTCGCTTGGTGAGTTCTCAGGCGCGACTTCAGCATTTTCTCCCGCTTCACTCATTGCCGCGACTTTTCAAACGATGTCCTCGACGCCTCTGACTTCAACTTCACCAGAAAAATTGCAATGATGCAAAAATAATGTGAAAAATGTCTTAGATATAGCGAACACCTTGAAATGAAAATAAAAATTGTTACAACAACATAATGCCCATTCATGAAGCCCTATGGCTGTCCCTCAACCTCGGTTTCAGATCTTGCATCTGGCACAAAGGCGACCTGGCATTATATTTTCTTAATTTACCTGAGAGACAAACATTAAAAATTATAGTAAAAAAAGTTTTTCTGTTGTCATCTTTTCCAAAAACTATCAATTAAGTTCCTAAAGAGGAAAAATAGTTTATTTTCATGCTATATATACCGAATCTAATTAATTTACTTCAAGGAGATTCTAAAACCCGACACAGATAGGGGCTAAACAGATCTTATATTATGAGGCCTACAAGAGGGTTCCACATAAGTTTAAACGTCTCACAAATAATAAAGCTTCTCACAAATAATAAAGCTTCAACCATGAACGTTTACTGATATGTTGAAAAAAATATATAACCAGTATATCATATAAAAATTAACTCAGTATCAATACGGTATCGTCGATACTCTTTACAACTAACATACGTCTTTGACGGTACCTAATCGGCCGGTTTCCTCAAATAATATGGGAAATATGTGTTTTTACCGTATTCTGAAACATGTATCGGATATGATTCCCTCATATATCAAACATGGTGCACCCGTATGAATCTATTCTATTCTCAAATCTTAGGATTTTTTTCAAATCAAGGACCTCATCGAAGATGATTCCGGATTTTTGCGACATCCCGGTTCTTTCGGTTATTATTTTACGCTCTTCAATTTGATCACGTGACTTATTAACATAAAGCGTGCTGCCATTTTGGATTGTAAAGGGAACAAAGACGCGTCAGAAGAGTCCAAACCATTCCTTATCAATATGTCGGAAAAAACAGCAGCAAAACCTGCCACGCCTGCTAAGAAAGAACTAACAGATACCAAGACCCCAACGCCGAACAAAAATAAGCCCCAACAGGATGGTAACATCAACAAACATCAAGAACAGAACAGAAGCCGCGGCGGTGGTGGCGGCGGTGACCGAGGTGGACATGGTGGACCCCAACGCCGTGGTGGCGGAGGAGGAGGAGGTCGGGGACGTTTCAACAATAATCGTAACTTTTCTCAGGGTGGCGACCGTCATTCTAATATGGGACACAAAAATCAGCCACCACAAGATACGGACCACAACGAAGATGGACCAAAAGAAGATCCGAAATTCACAGGAAGATGTCGTCTTTTTGTCGGAAACCTGACACCTGATATTACTGAAGAAGAGTTCAGGGGGATGTTCACTAAATTTGGTGAAATATCAGAACTCTTTGTCAACGGCGCCAAAGGATTTGGGTTCATTCGCATGGTACGAATATGATATTTAATGCACACGAACGGTATATGATTATCTGTTGACCACGGGGGAGTTCAAATTTCTGTTGTAGAATAGGGAGAGATTACAGAAGTGAAACATTTTGAAATGATGAGAAACTGCCTACGAAAAATACTACAATGCATATATTTTTAAAAAAAATGTTATTGTATGTTTGGGAAAGATGCAACTTTGTCAATGTCTGATGTCGGAGCTTAGTCAAAGGTTCTAGTTAGTAGGCACTTCTGTCAATTACACACATAATTTAAACAAAATGTTGCTAAATCTGTGAAGGTTCTGTACCAAACCCATGTGATGATGTGGGAAAATATGGTTGTTTGAAAGACCATTTCTTAAGTACTATATAATATTTATTTTTTTTGTTTATAGGACTACAGAAACAATGCTGAAGCAGCAAAGGCAGCTTTGGATGGAACACAGAGAAAGGGTCGCAGTCTGAGAGTACGATTTGCAAACCATGGAGCTGCTATCCGAGTCAAGAATCTGTCTCCATTTGTATCTAATGAACTGATGTACCAGTCTTTTTCCCAGTTTGGTGACATTGAAAGGGCCATTGTTTGTGTGGATGATAGAGGGAGGTCTTCTGGAGAGGGAATTGTAGAGTTTGCCAGAAAACCAGGTGCCAGCCAAGCTATGAAGAGAATCAATGAAGGAGTTTTCCTTATGTCTTCGTAAGATCTGTAGTTTTATTCACATTCTCTTTTCTATCTTGCTGAGATATTGGTTAATCAGAGTTTTCAACTAGAATAGACTTTTGCTTGATCAAGAACTATCTTTCTATGTACCTGATTATTTCTAATTTAAATTTAATTGATTTGATTATGCCGTGGCGCAGCGTCTGTCGTCAACTTTTTCTTTAAAACCTATATCCTCCTAAACGGCAAAGATATTTACACCAAAATTTAGTCTGAAGCATCAATAGGGATGGGCAATAATTTCTAAAATAAAGGAGGTTGGTTTGACCCCTGAGGCCACGGGGGCAGGGCCCTGAATGGGAACTTAGCTAAATTTGCTTTTGCTTTTTCTTGGGTTTTGCTCCTAAACCCAAGAAAAGATTTCAACCAAATTTGCTCTGAAGCTTCTTTGGGGGAGGGCAATCATTTCTTAAATAAATGAGACTGGTACGAATCCTGGGGCTATGAAGACCGGGCCCCAAAGAGGAAAGATTTTGTTTTCAGATGCTAATATCCCCCAATTGCCTGAGTGGATTGTACAAAATTTGGTCAACAACATTATTGAGGAAGAATAAACATTTCTTAATTGAATGAGGTTGTTTTGACCCCTGCGGTCCTAAGAAATGATATAGCTAGATTATCATATTCTATGTTGTAGTTTTCATAAATTGTTAAAAATTGGTTTCTAGGTTTATAAAAGCTTATAGTTGAATGAAAATCAAAGTATTGTCTAATTACACCCTGTAATATGACATAACTTATTTTAAAATCTGTTAACATAGCAACTCAACGGAGGCCTCTTGATTGGTTGAAAGTCAGGTATGGTGGTCCCAGTTGGGTTAGAACATAGATTTTGTCTGGTTTTGAAGAAATTTCATATAAAGATGTACTTTATAATTACTTAAATATAAAACCAGGTGAGTGATACAGGTCCAATAGACCTCTTTATTTTTAATTTTATCAAGAGTGAGAGAAAACTGTCAAGAGACAGATTGTAAGAGAAATAAAATAATGACTATAAATATGTTGTGAACAAAACAAAAATCAAAATGCAGCAGGACTCTTTCTGGGTCTTTGAGACTGATAATTGGGCCCATTCCCAGTTGAAACTATTTTATACTTGATTTCCAAAGTTTGCAGTTTACCCTATTTTTTTTTTATTTCAATTGGTATATTTTCTTTCTAAAATGAAACAAAAAAAGTCCCATTCCAAATTAAGGGGGGGAAAACACTTCGCTTGTAAACAGATGTTTTTGATTTTATTCTCCTGGTAGGTACCCAAGACCTGTTTTTGTGGAGCCTTTGGAACAGAAGGATGAAGAAGATGGTCTTCCAGAAAAATTCTTGCCGAGAAATGAACATTGCAGAAAAGACAGAGAAAAGGAGCCTAGGTTTGCTCCACCAGGATCTTTTGAATACAGATTTGCACAAAGGTGGAAGGAATTGGATGAACTGGAGAAACAGCAGCATGAAAGAGTGAAGCAAGAAATGGAAGATGCAAGAATCAAGTTGGAGGCAGAGATGGAGGGTGCGATGTATGAGTACCAAGCTGAACAAATCAGAGCAGGTGTGTTTTTATTAAAAACAATAAAGTGTTTAAGATTGGCAATAAGACGCTGTTACTACCAAATATGTTTCTGCTTGATCTTCCAATGTTTGAGTGAAAGTCAGCTTATACCATTGGACAGCATCTTGCATTCGCCCTATGGCAATCCTTGTTTTGCTCACCTGACCCAGATGTTAAATTGCTAGAACATTGTCTTCTAAAGAACAAAAAGTCAAGAGTCATGAAATTTGGCCACTAAAGTACTAACTAGCATGACATGCTATAAATTTTGCTGAAATAAATGACCTGGATCTGGTATAAGGTTGCTGGGATCTGTTGTTGAAATGGCACAATTGACTTTTTCTTAGTAATGGAAAACCCTAGTGTCGTAATAGGTGTCCAGTAGCTGGTTCGTATATGAAGTATTAAAAAATAATAATATTTCAGAAAGTATTTTTTGGCATTGGCTGCATTACGTTAGCCATTGTCTAAGATCACAAGGGTTAAATTTGTTAACACCTTCTGAAGGATAAAATGGCCTAGTGATAAGTGGCCGGTAGCAAATTTATTAAAACAAAAATTCTTCTGAATGTCTGAATTTCATTGTGTTATTTTGGCCTGTAGTCTGCGTTCAGGACCTTTTTGGAATATAGTGTTAGAGATAATCACTTAAAACAAATAGGCATTTTTAGACCCCTTGGTTCTGTAAACAACTTCTAATTAACAAAAATGGCCAAATCTTTTTTGTCAATTGCGTGCTTGGATGAAGGACTGTTTACCAGATCACAAGAGTTAAATATGTTACAACATTTAAACAACTTCTGAATAACCAAAATAACCAGATATCAAGGTCACAGGGTCAAATGTCTTAATGCATTTCAGCAATTTCTTTAAGTGACAAAATTGCCTTAATTGACATTTTGCCAGTAGAATGCTGGGATTAGGGGTAATAAAATGATCCAGACAAAGGTTCTCTGAAATGCTGTTTCTGTATATATAACATTCATTGTTCATATACTATTGAGATTTTAAAGGTATATGTTATGACCTGTCATCTATCCCATCAGATCAAAATCTATCGGTATTAATGTAAAGGTTTTCATTTCATATACAGACTTGGTAAGACAGCAAGAAGAACTCCAAAGAATTGAAGAAATGAGACAGGAACAGATGAGGCGTAGACAAGAAATGGACATGCGGTAGGTTTCAAAGCAATATCACATAAAACTATTTTCTTTTAACAAAATAGTTAAAAGAAAATAGTTCAGTTTTACCAAAATAATATTATTTCTAATTTCATAGTTGGAAATAATTTTAAAAAAAAATAAAAAAAATATCAATTTAAGCAAAGAAAATGTGAGCGTTGATTTGGATGTTAATTGGATTTACTATGCACTTTCTTTATTTGCAGGGCAATCAATCCTGTATAAAATTCCGTTATATTGAGCACAAATCACAGGTCAATGTTGAATTGGTTCAATATCATATGATATATTGAATGGCCTATTTGGTCAGTAATGACACTTATTTCAGGCGTCAGGAGGATAGCAGGATGGTTAGAGAAGAAGAAGAAAGACGCAGAGAGATGATAATGAGGGGAGAAGGAAGTGGTATGAGAGGAGGAAGAGGGCCAATGGACAGTCACCGAAGCAGTCAGATGGAACAGGTAACCATGTTATAGCAATGAGTTCATACCATTTAATCACAGATTAAGAAACTGAAGTATAAACGTTTAAAAAGTATCTCATGACAAATGAATTTCTTTGATTTGTTAATTGTTCCCTAATCAGAGGACTTTGGAAGAAAACCCTGACTGATTGTCTTGTATAAAGCTGCAGGGAATTCAAGATAAATCTATATGGATGCAGAATATAAATTGCAGACTCGCCTACCAAAATACAATCTAAGGTGTAAAAACATGTTTTGAATGTGTTGTGAAAGAGTCTTGCTATCAATGATATAATTAGTAGGTATTGTTTTAAAGAAGGGTGTAATTGTTTTGTTACAGCAAGGAGGACTGAGAGGCGAAGGAATGCGAGGTGATGGTATGCGTGGTGAAGGCTTGCGCGGTGAAGGTATGAGGGGTGAAGGACAACGTGGGCGCTCTGGAGTACCCCCACCTGTTCCACCACCTCCAGCCCCTCCTGCTGCCATGGGCATTGAAAATGTAAGAGGTTTTATCTGGTCTCCATATGTTTGGTGGAAGTGTGCTTATAAGATAACTTCTCAGTTAAGAGAATGACTAACCGAATGCTTTTAGGATCCCTGTCCAACTGCAGTGTTTTTTAGCTCACCTGCCCGAAGGCAGTTTATGTTGCATATGTCATTTTATATGCCCTGGCAATTATATATCTGTACTGCTAAACAAAATTAAGAAGAAAGTCATTAAAAATATCCCGCTTGCATCCCAATGTAAGTACACACAAGTGACCGTGCCTCGTTATTGCCTGGCATCACTGCACACGATTTTCTGTAGTAAATCAAATCCAATTAAAACAACCCTTTCCCGACTCTTAACTTAGCCTATTGTTCTCCTCAGAGCACCCCTCATAACTAGCCAATATAGCTATAATGGAATAATTGATTTTTTTTTCCATCCCAAAAGTTGATTATATTTCGTTTATTTCATCTTTACACTTTCTCAATTTAAGTCTTGAAAGGTACAGCTTTCTTTTCGGAAATAATAAATTATCTATAGTCATGCCGGACAAAATAGTTTCAAACGCTCGGTAACAATATATATGTTACATATTTTATTCAGATCTAAAGCAGACATTGTTTGACAATACAAGTTTTTCTCCTTGAGTGTTTCTCATTGTCTAAGACATCAATATATACAAACACTCCTTTAACCTTTCATTGCCTAACTTTGTGAGTACCTATTTGAATGTTGAAGTATTGCATGTGAAAATAAGATTTCCTGTCCTCTATATATGATTATGGCCCTTTGTTCAATTTCGATGCCAACGTTTGTCCGGAAGAAAAGGACTATGGGTTGCTGGCAGTACCCTGCCTCGTTTTCATCACATAAAGAACAAATTCAAGACTAAATTTGTGAATGATAACCAGTATTACGAACTTTTGTTATTCTGTTTTCTTGCATTATGTTCTGAATGTATATGGTACATAAAACTCAAATGTTGTATTTACAAGATATTTTGCCCCGAGTACCATACTCAAAAGATATTTTTGAGTTGACTAAACATTTGTGTATTGTTGCAACAGAGGCAACAGAATGAGGGATCCATAGTAAGTGGATTTGGAGGATCTGGTGGAAATGTTGGAGGAGGTGGAGGTGTAGGCGGCAGCCAAGGGTCGATGCAAGGTCAAAGCCAGGGAATGGGAGGTCAAGGCCAGGGAATGGTACGTATCACAGAAAATTGTTTTTTGACTAGTTCTTTGTTATCATATACTGGATTTGCAAACAGGCCCTCGGAGTCATTGCACACATGAAATTGCACCTTTTAATAATATGTGTTGTTCAAATGGAGTTGCTGGAGTGCATTCATTTGAACTTAAACAAATGTCTTGTTTGAACTTCTGAGTTTCATACTTGAAAACTCACTCACCAATTATCAGATTACTTGGTGGTGTCTATAAACTAAGAAGCAGTACACATGCACATATGCTATACATGTATGATTTACATGAAAGGCAGATATAAATGAATACCAAACAGATATTCTGGTGAAACCAAAGGCAAATACAATGTAGATTGCAAATGTTAATACCTGTAACACTTAAAAAAAGACATGGTTATTTATGACATATACAGCATTGCTATCCTACGATAGGTTTGATGCATTCCATACCAAAAAAATGTCTGAAATATTTCCAAGGAGTTTTTGAGCTTGTCATAGGTGTTGTGTCCCTTGCATCATAAAAATAAACGTAATAAAAACATATGTGACAAAGAGATCTGTACTTCATCACTGTTACACTTTGGAATTGAAGAAAAGGCATGTTTCATCACTGTGTTGATGGCAAAAAGACAGACAAAATGCACCATTTCTGAACTCATGAAGGACGGGAAAATATGAAACCAAACAAATCACGTTTTTTGTATCATTTCATTTGATCTTCTTACCGATGCTGTGTTGCTGACATTCTCAAGATTAACCATACTGTATAAACTGGGATGGATGCCATTAGTAAACTTGTGAAATCCACTGTGCTGTTGAGGACCAGTGATCAAGGTTTTCACATATCTCAAGATATATATATATGTTGCAGTCCTATTTGCAGAATAACACAGTGTTTGCAGAATAACAACGTAATGACATTTTTGTAAGATGCTGCCATAGTTGTCACAAGGTTTTCCTGTATCTCTTTGATGATTTGTCTTTGTCATACTATTTTGTTAGTTGGCCTCAGCCTGATGACCTAGTGATGCTTAAAAAATGTTCATAACAAAAACTGTTGCTATATATCTTTAGCAAACATTTTTAGTTTTATATGTCCTTTTCAAATGAATGGAGATATATTGTATTATAACTACACCCNGGGGGGGGGGGGGGGGGGGGGGGAACGTTAAAATATATCAATGAAAGTTGAAGTATAGCATCATCCACAGAAAATGTGTACTGTGCACTGTGATTAGATTGTGTACCTCACCTCTAGGTCAAAGGTCAATTCAAACCAAAGCATGCACAAAGTTATCTGCTCCCAAAAAAAATCTCTCCTAAGCCTTGTATTACCTGCCTTACTTGAAATGAGTACTATATCAGTAAAACAAGAAATGTGTTATTTTAGAGAGTTCCACATAATATGTACGCTAGGAGATGTAAAAAAAAATCCTTCTATTTGCATCTGGATACTTGTGGTAGAAAATCATTAGTCATATCTCCTCATCTTGTGAAAAGACTGACCTATTGCGGTAGGTCATATGTTGTTAACTAGACATTAGCATTAGTTGCTCCAAAGATGGGAACAGGGCTTGCAATGATCAAGTCAATTTGCTTTGTTGAAAATATATTTACTATTCAAAACAACTGTCTGAAGGGTGATATCCTAGGAAATTGTGGTATATAATGCATTCAAGTTGCCACTATACTGGAGTATTTTCTGATTGAATTTTGTAAGAAATTTAAACTTATTAATAGACACTGGAGATTGTGAAGTTGTGAAATAGTTTTAATTCCTGAATTTTGGTTATTCTTTGTTTTTGAAACAATTATGACCATGGTTGATGTTTATCGTACTTTGTCAATATTTCTTAAAGCATATGACTAAATGTTAAATGCAAAATTGTGTAAGTGTAAGTATAGAGAACACAACACTGCCACATGGGCTTGGTTTTTGTCAGTTTTAGTGGTGTTTGTTAAGGAAAATGATGTACACAATTTCTTGACTTTCTGATAGATCGTGATTTTCAATTTTGGGTGTAAAAATTGCTTGTACTAGCAAGGTCTTAAGATTTCTTTATGTATATTTTTGTCATATAGAAGCATTATTAACATCAGCAGGCTGGCACACTGAAGAAGCGAAATAAGAACGATGACCTCCATACCTAGGGATAGTGGAGTTTTTACTCACTTGTCTTGTGTATTTAAAGTTTTAAATTATGACATGCTGATGTCGGTTTGTTTATTTGAAACTGTACAAAAACTATTTGGTTATGATGCTGTCTAAAGAATGGTCACTTTGTGGGAGCTGGACATTCATATGAACAGGAATAGTGTTTAAAGGAAGCCAATCTGCTGTGCTTTTTCATGNGGGGGGGGGGGGGGGGGGGGGGGGGGGGGGGGGGGGGGGGTGTTAAGAGAAATTTCATTGAAAGTAACATAGATATTTTGTTATGGAAGTTTGAGTATGAATGTTATTTCCCTGAAATTGGGACAACATGCAACATTTCGGAGGAAAAGTGCCAGAAACTAGGATAATCATTGTTTCTTGAAATACTGTATATTGCTTATTTTTGGACTTCGCATTACCATGATGAATGTTTACCTGGAAGATGATAGCTTGGATGTCTGGAGGGTATATATATGTTTTGTTTATAAGCATAATGTACACGTAAGGATTACAGATGATGAAACATGCTTTTTCGTATTACCTGTAAACACAATTATATATTGCCTTTAAACATGAAAGTTCTTTGATAAAAAAAAAAACCCATAAAAGATCAAGTTAATTCATCATTTAAAGTTATAACTTATGCACATGCAAACATAACATGTATGTGTACTTTACTTTAAATATTGATTTAGGATTGCTAACAGTGATGAACCCTGTACAGACTCGCTATTAAAATGTTATTGAATAAACTGGGATGGGATATTGTATTGCATTACATCCTTTTATAAACCTGAGATGGAGTTTTTTCATGGTAACAAATACTTTTAAGAAGTTAAACTTCATTCACATCTACATTTGTGTATGTGACATCAGAAAACTTTGAAATGATTTTGTTTGCTAGATACTTTGCTACAAAGAAAATATGGAGGAATCTTTTACAGATGCATTTGTTAGATTCTGTACATTCTCCTTATTACTGAGTTTCAGTTCCAATTCCTGGACAGATTTAATTACAGTATACATTTGAATACCAGTACTTATGAACGAATCTTTTGACTGTTCTTTTGTTGTTCAACGTTTTCAAATAATTTCACTGGTACAAACTTTTTTGTGTTAAACCAGCAGGCTACAATGAAATGTATGTAGTACAATTGTTAAAATATTTCCAGTACATGAACTGATATTCACAGCTTCTATAAGTGAAAGTTTCATGTTTTACAGTATAACAGCTATTTAATAGGACAACAATCTAGAGCAAAAATTGGAAATCAATAATTAAATTTAGAGTTTTCAACATATCCTATTGTTGAATGAATTTCATCTTGGATTTAGAATAACTATTTATGGATAGTGCAATTGATTAATTGTGCTTTGGTATGGACAGATAATTGCATTAATGAAGAAATTTAGAAAAATGTGCAGGGATTTCATGTTGATAGGGAATGCTGTTTCCCATGATAACTTTGGTAACATATTTCTTTTAAAAAAAATGACTTCATAAAATAATCTTGATAAGAAGATAAATATGAACAATGGATTGCTGTTTTGGAGATGTGTTTTTGTGGACACTGTACACTACTTGTACCTTTGTCCATACACATTTATTTAACCAATGATGCACATTTATAAAAATCCTTACATGCATGTATTGGCAACAAGAAGTTTGATAAAAGAAATAAAGTACACCTGATGCAAGGGACACAAATAACCCCACTTATATCCGTCTGTGACCTTAATACCCGAACAGCAATGCAATCTGCATGTAAGATATGTGAACTTACAATCTTGTACATATTTCATTAGTGTACATTGACATTACTTCTTGTGTTTAAGTTTTTTTCAGGATGAATTGAAAATGATAAACCACGGTAGTAGTTGATGAAGATGTGCGGTAATGCACATTTTGTTGTAGTGATCGTGACTTGTGGTTTTAAAGCGTTTTGGTAGGTATTTGATGGTGGATGTCTTTCATGGCTATTAATATTAATTGTAAAAATGACTATGTAGCATGATAACAGTTCCCAAAAATCATGATATTTTATTATCTTGTGTCTTTACAAGTAACTTTTCCAGTTCTGCACTCTTTGAGTATTTGTGTGTAGTGCAAACTGGAATTATATTGAATATATAAATATGTATGATGGAACACCTTGGACAAGAACAGTTGATGTCACATTATGTACAGTAGGTATACATGTACTATTGTGTGATGCATAATATTGGATGGGGAAAAGGGATTTGCTACGCTTACAATGTGATACAGAAATGGTACATTCACTGTATATATATATGTACTCGAGCTTCCAGCGTGAACCGTTCAACACAACTGTGTTTGTTGTATTCAATTTGGGAAACACTTGGCTTGAAAAAGCTATTTGCTGAAATAAGTTGAAATTACCCAGAACAACTTGGACATGAAGGAAGTGTTTTAATAGTTGGGATATATACCAGTTTGATATGGGAGAAAGTATCGATAATGTTCCTGAAAGTGTCTTGAGCTGTGAAATAACATAAAATTGTTCTTTTTATATACCTGCTAAGAATATTAAGTGGAATAGCTAGAATTGACATAAAATCACCCAGCTGCTTTCAGACTGTAACTTATCTTGTGTGAAAGTTTTCTCTTAACTCAAGATGGAGTATCTTTCCACCTATGACAATGAACCATCACATGTGACATCAGTACAAATAGGACAAGAATATCCGAATGATTTTGGGATCAAGGTCACTGTAAACCATGCAATAATTGTTTTCACCCTTTGTTTGTGCATCTTTCAAAAGTTAATATCGCATTTAAAAATAAAATATGTGTAAAACCAATGAGGAGCAAGGGAGAGAATGGCTACATAAATGTTTGAATCTTGTGTTTGCTTTAAAGAAATACAGGGTGCTTTTGCAGCCCACAGCATTTACAGAATATACAAGGATTATACAAGAGTTAGTTGTAGAAGGGTTAAAAAGTAATTCAGGATTATGAGCAAGGTTAATGTTTAACCATACATGTTTATTCCCTTTCCCCAGTAAATCTTAATATCCTGGGCATATCACTGGTAAATAATTTAAGCAACACACAGGCATATGGTTTGAAATTGAGTAGCATGTGATATAAAGCAGATTTTTTTTTGTAAAACGCAGTGTATATTTAAAATATTTATTTTGGTAGAAGACTTGACACTAGATTAAACTAGAAAGATTCACACAAATCTAGAAAAGGAATATTTCATTAAAAAATAATGTAATGATTTCCTGTTGCGTATCATCAGTTTCATTCAGTAAAAATAACCCTAGAAAACCAATATATCTTAACTTATTCTTGAGATTGCTCTTTAAAAAAATGTTTTTAAGGACCTATGTAGGAAAACAATTTTAAAATCTGTAATACTTCATCAATGGAACATGTTAGAGAATGTGGAAGTTGCTTCCTGAAAAAAATATTTTGCATTATATATTTGGATGTCGATTGTAGAGGAAAAAGAAAGTAATTAAGGATCACTACCATGAGGTGATTGTTTAAATATAAAGTCATATTGATACTGTGTTGTTGTACATATATGACTGATCAAGCAGCTAATTTGAAAGTCTTGGTATCTGTGATGGATATTAAACTGCAGGGGAGGTTTTTTTACATGTGTTTCTGGTAAAGATGTTAAATGAGTGGTGATCACACTTTTTACCTTTGTGAAACTCCTTAAAATATAAAGGTTTTTAAGATATAAAGCAAACCAAGTATTGGAACAAGAGATACTAGATGACGAATAGAAAAGATGTCTGTTTATTTTCCCTGTTTATTATGCATCCTGTTTCTAAAAACAATTGGGACAATTCTGTGGTATCTTTGACTTTTTCTTATCGACCAAGTTTCTGGCTGTAGGAGAGGTCGTATAACTGATATTTATAAGTTTATAAGGACTTATTAGACTATGCAATTCGCTATACCATCCAGGTGATCAGTCAGATGTGACATTTTAGAGCCTTACATAATATCAGTTTAGATGAATGATAGTTACGTGTTCCTTGTCACTGGAAATTTGTCCACCAGGTTGCACTTGCTAAAAAAAATCCTATGCAATGGAATAGCATTATTCTTAAGAATGTCTTTGCAGCATCCATGGGCATCTAGCCAATATATGTTGTAGATAACCGAACATGACAATAGCTTCATGATCAGAAGAAGTGATAATGGTGAAAAAAACTTACATAATTATGTCATGTGATTAGTCACTTCATTGTGGGGAACTGGATATGGGGAATAATAAGTTGCTGGACCCACAAAACAATATGTTACTCCTGCCAACTCACTTGATGACAGCTGGTGTTGATGAAACCTTGTCTTAACTTTAAACTTAAAGGCAGGTTGTGTGCGAATTGTTTTTCAGGACTGATGTTGTTACTGGAATCAGGTATATATGTAAAAAGTGGTTATTTTTAGACACAAGTTAATTTAAATATCGTTATTGTATTAATTGATTGCTATGAATTTAATCTTATAATTTGAAAGCCATTGGACTGAAATCATCATTTACCCTGCCAGGATGTTGATCCTGTGCTCTTTAGAGCACTATGTAGAGGAGTAGAGGTAAGACTGAACTTCATTGAAAACCTTTGTTTCATGTTTGCTAATGATCCATTCTTCTTCCTTTTTTCTTGTGCCCGTGATGGAATTATCCCGAAAATGATGACCTCCTCAACCATTTGTAAATCAATGCAAAAATTGATTGAAAATTTGGTCAACTTTACATTTGACCATGAATACTTACCGACCTGATCGTGATGGACATATGCATTCATATATGAATGTTGACCCTGATATAAATATATCATAAAAATCAACAGCAGCGCCAGTCAAGATTTGATCAACAAGGTGGTAACTACGGAAATGGAAACTTTGGGGGTCGTGGGGGTTTAGGTGGCCAGGGTGGGGGCATGTCTGGAGGAAGTGGAGGCGGTGGTATGCAGGGGGGTAACAACATGTATGGAGGTGGGGGTATGAGTGGAAACATGGGAGGCGGTCGTGGTGGTATGAATGAACGCAGACGCCAGGAGGCTGGAGGACCCAGAGACGACTATGGAGATATGAAGAGAATGCGTCGCTATTAAATCTTTAATCATTTTGTGGCTATTGATAACTTTGCAGGCTAAGAAATATGAAATACTGCAAGGAAAGTCGCCTCTTTAGATAACAGTCTTTATGGCCGTTAGTTATGCTGCCAAACAGTGAAAATGATCAAGAGCAAATACCAGATAAATGACCTGACATAATATTGTGAACAATACATGGAGACACTTGGGAAATGATGGAGATAGTGTTACTGGAAAGAACACAGTTTCAATATGTGTGCATTGATTTGATTTAAAGAAAATACATGCACTATAAAAACATGAACATAGACATTGAATTATTTTTAAACATGAACTTGGAGTAGGCATTCTATTTTGATAACCACTGGTTTCTTTTATCATGAGAAAATCTTTTATCATGAGAAAATGCTAGTTACATATATCTGTAAATGTGTGTCCCTTTTTTCTGAATTTCTATCAAGTGACATCATTGTAATATAATCATTTCTATGTTGTGTTGTGTTCGTTATCGTTTTAATTCCATGTATCATTTTATTCTTGTTTCAAATTTGGACAAGAATCCATAATCATGTATATTTGAATAGATTTACAAGAGATAGCACTTACTATTCTCAATAATGGTCTCCCATACTGATGTTCTTTTATTAGTTCATAAGCAAAGACATTGTATATATTCATATAATTTCGTATTAATACCCCAACAACTGTTTTATTATTTGTGAATGTATCTATTGATCATATAGAAAAATGTCGAAATAAATAAAAATATTGTACCTGTAAACAACCTGCTGTATATTATAAATATGACTTTATGACCAGTTGACCGAAAACAGGAGAAGATGAAGACAGAATCTTTGACTGCCATCTTGGGTCATTTTTGCTGTCACTGAAATCTCAATGTCCAACCTAAAATAGAAGCAGTTATTGCTCATACGGTTGGTCTTTCCTGTAACTGTAAAAAAAATAAGAACACCACCATTTGATGATTTTAATGCTGTCATATTCAATCCTGAATGACGTTTTAAGTGGTCTGTTGCATTGGTTGTTGAAACCTGAACAGTGGATTGACAAAGAAAGGTCACATTCATTATGAACAGTATTTTGGCTAAGAAAGGTCACACACAGCTGAACTATAAAATATGTAGGTAAAAAATGGAGGGAAGGCAAAAAAGCAAGTGTAATGAGACAGAAAAGGAAATATATAAAGATGCTCATGTATTGGTGCACGTGCATCCTCTGAATCTGATAGTGGGATAATCAAATATTTTATCTGTAGTCCGGAATTCTTTTGACAGTTTGTCAAAAAAGTGTTACCATTATTTCTCCGGTAAACTTAAGGGATCAAGATGAAACTTGGCATGTATGATCTCAATGGTCCCTAAGTTGTTCCTATTTCAAATTTGGCTGATTTGGGGGGAAACCAGGATAGCCACCAGGATTCTGTATGGATATGGCATGTTAAGTTTGTTGCTACTTTTGCTCAGAAAGTAAAAAGACAAATCCGGATGAAACTTAAATATGCAATTGAATCTTTGTCCTTTACTGTGCATGCTCCAGTTTGAGATGGATCAGAAGCAGTCTTGGATAATTTTTCTGAAGTTTGTTATTACTGTATTTCAGGACCTATCCATGGATCATACAAAATGGCAAACCTCTCCTTTGTCCCTTTTGACTTTTTATATGCCCGTCAAATTTGACGGAAGTATTATGGTATGGGGTTGTCCGTCCGTCCGCAGATTTTCTCCAACATTTTTTATAGCTAACTACTCTTAGAATGATGCAGATCATATTTCAATTGAAGAAAGTATACAACACTAAATGGCATTCGACGGGCGTATATTGTTCCGCCCAACGGTACTCTTGTTCATATTCTGCTGATACAAAACATTATAATTTTGCATCAGTATTGCATTACCAGAATATCTAAGTTAAAACAAGCCATGCAAAGATCATGTTTCAACTTGGTTTGCATGTGCTTATGAGGGTAGAGAATAGTAAAATCACATGAAGAGGAAGAACCTACATACTGGGCATATTCAAGATCAATCAGTGGTGGGTGACAAGATCCTTGTTGGATTTCTTGTATTATGACTTGTAGCCGAAGACAATTGAAATTTAGTTGTTGATATAATTCATGATCTTAAAATTAGTACATCTACTTCCTAGGTTGATGGATATATATAAGCAATCATAATTTTATTTTGATGCTTCTATTTCAAGGGAGGAATATTTCTGGACAAATTTTGAGCAAACTTGATACAAAAGTAAAGTATAAAAAAAAACCTTGGATGCTCTGGAGTACTTAGGTCAAGGCCAAGTTCACCTTTAATTAGGTCTACCAATTGCTGGTAATTATCATCAATCTAGTAACTTGCATTGATGGGTGTGGATTTTGCTAAAACCCAATGCTTGGGATTAGTTCATGTTTAGGGTGCCAATGTCAAAGTTAATTTTTGAATATGATAATATATAGTTAATGCATTATTAATTGTTTGAAGAGGGTGTCTAGTTGTTGCTGTCGATGCATTCCTGTGTACCTATTTTGACAATCAGACAAGTGTCAAAGGGACATTCTACCACTGTTGAAGTGAAAAGCTTGTGAACGAGAGAAATGACAATCTTTGATCATTTATGAACCATTTGTTAATCGATTGCTGCATACAACTATTTCCTAAATCATTAATATAGTTTCATGTCTAGAAGAATTTCTTAACCATTTGCAAATAGCAAAAACATAGAAATCTGTACAATCCAAGTATAGTGGATATAGCAGACCAAGTTGTTTTCGCATGAAATGCTGCCTAAGGGTATCACATGCAAACCTGATTGTGGACATACATGACCGAAAAGATTTATTGTACAGTGAAACTTGTTTATACCCAGGCCAAGTGTGACTGATATAGTGTACATGTGGACAGGTTAATTGGTTTATGGTGGGAATTTAGTTTTTTTCAAAACCTTTGATTTATTTAGAATGCCATAATTTCATTGTTACAGTGCAATTATCTGGCCAGTAATTGATCATAAGATAATTGAAGCACAGCTTACATGGAATACTGACAGGTTTCTACTGTACAATTAAAACTTGCAGCCGAGATTGATATTGAATGAAGATCTGATTGCTGAATATATTTTCCTGTGCCTTTGATGAAAACTTGGACATCTGTCCTCACAGACCTTGGGAATTGAAGATACTCGTTCATGTATGTGACCTCATATTCCAAATAATAATAACCAATCTTATTGTTTTGGATGAGCAAGTACACATTTTGAGGTCAGACTTCTTGCAGTTGTCATAGGTCTCCTTAATGGAGGAATGGTAAGTATTGATGCTTGAATCCCTATTGGAAATAAAATATTTAAGAGAGGGGGAATCCCGCATTATTATTTGTGTGTAAAGATTTCTCTATTATTATTTTGCAAAAAATATTTTGGGTTTCTTGTAACAGTTTCTGAACACTCACTTTAATGGTGATGAAGCTACAGACACATCAGATTTCTAGTTCTAGGGAATGAATTTCTACCTTTCTGTTCCTCATGATCATGATCATTTGTGGACATGGTGAAGTATTTCATATACAAACATCTGATGGAGAAAAAAAAAATATTGTAAGAAATTGGTCATCGGCATATGATTGCTATGGACTGATCTTGGGGATATTATCAGGAGATATCAATATAAACATTTTTCAAATCATTTCCAAGTGTAAGTGCATAATATTGCCTACTGTTCGGGGAAATGTTGGAAGAAAAAACTTGAGGTATTGACATTTAGAAAATAAGAGCAAGACTCGTTGATTTTAGGGAATTATATCTGTTATTAGTGGTTGGATTGTATTGCCCTTTCTGGGCTATTGTGTTGAACTATTGATCTTTCAAGTTTTATTTCAGGTTGTTAAATCCAGCAAAGACTTCTCTGTAAACCTCCGACACTAGCTGCAGGAATATGATCGTACAAGCGACAGTTATGTGTAAAGATCCCCAGATACTGGCTGACTTCTTTACGTGCATTTGTTAGGCAAGAGAAGATACAAATGTTGCTAAGCTCCGAGATGGTAGCTTTTGAAAATATAAGTATACGTGTTTTGTATCTAAGAAGATGTGTACTAATGTGATATTGTCAATTCATCCTATCAAAAGCATGAAGGACATGTCTGCTATCTTGTAATGAATGGCACTTATACATCTTCTATTAGGAAAATGTAATGCCTTTGTAAGATTTGATGCATAATGTGTAAACTGTAACAATGATTAATGACTTGGTTGTCAATGGATGTTGCCGAAAGACTTAAATGACATCAAATTAAATAGCACCACTAAAGAATGGTCGGTTTGAAATGCAAAAACAAAAAATCCTTACTTATTTTGATTTTTTTTTCTCTTATAATATCTGTTAAAGTTTTGAATTATAGAAAAAGTAAGACATGCAAAATTTGACTCAAACTCACTTAAGACTTGAAGTGTTTATAAATGATACATTTGAAATACCAACAATCTCATATATTTTGGATTCTTATGGAGTTAATATTAGGCAAAGTAACGGAGAGAAAATTGATGCTTAGTAGCAATACTACAGTGAGCTTGAAGTATGTGTTGGAGTGGGAAATACTTGCGTGAATTTTGTGAAATGTGACTCCATCACATTAATTATTATCTAATGATAGCACTCATCAAGTGCTGTTTCCCTGTTTCCTCTTCATTTTAGGTTTGAGATGTTGATCCATTGATTGCTGATTATAGTATCATAACAGTCCCTTACAGTGTAGCATGAGCCTCCATTCATCTGTATATCACATGCTCCTTCTATAACGCAACTTACTTTGTCCCCATGGGAGATTTTATTTTCAGTGTTATACTGTCCATCCATCCTTCATAGACTATGCACAACAAGTGGATGGTCATTAGATAAATACTGGGGAATGTTTAGGTCAAATGTACAGATGGATTAATGTTATCACTGAATATCAACAGATAATGGAACGTCTTTGAGTTTGTTTGGCCGATGGGATTATAAAAAAGTCACTAACCATTTTTGTCTGAAAATGATCTGCATATTTAAATGTATAATATAGCAAGCTTAAAGCGTTCAGGATGAAGTGGATACCTCGTGGAGTTGAGGACAGGTCCTCAATTGTGATTGGCTGTCAGTTAGAACGTGCCAATTCTTTCAATATTATCCTTAAAAAAAACCTGTATCAGCTTGCTCAATCACCGATACATTCGGATTTTTATCAGCTTTTTCTGTGGTAGTAATTTGGGAAATTTTCATTTTAATTTAAAAAAAATTGGTATATTTTTGTGATTATTTTGTTCATCATTGATTCAGGTACAAAAAATTGTTCATGAATTTGCTGTATTTTCTAGATATATTATCAAAATTTTGACAAGTTTCATTCTCATTACGTCAATCATATTCACAAACATAGAAAAAATAATATTCAGAAATCATAAAAATGGAGTAAAAGCTAGACTTGAAGTATCCCCTGCTCAATAACACTGAGTCTGGAGAATCTCCTAGAAGAGATGAAAGTACTAAAGACTTGTTGAGAATTTTTCTTTTTACATTATTTCTTCGTCCGTAAGGAGAATTTTTCTGGTTTCATATATATATATATATATATATTATAAATCAGAATTATAGTCTGGAGAATCTCCTAGAAGAGATGAAAGTACTAAAGACTCATTGTTGAGAATTTTTCTTTTTATAATATATATATATATATATATATAAGCAACTGTTCTATGATGATGAAAGTCATGAGATCTATAATAGTAAATTTT